AGGGTAATGGGCTGTTGGGTCGAATGAACTGAAGTGAGGGATTCGGCGTGGGTCCGTTGGGTGGCGTCAGGACGTGGCCGTACATACCGCCTCCGCCGCCGCCGCCGTCGACAATGAAGCCTCCGCCGCCGCCGTTAGTAATTACGCCACCATCGGGGAACGGGCCCGTTGAGATCCGCCGCTGGTACGGGACCATGGTGACGTCATCAACGTTGTACGGCATGCCACCGCCTCCGCCATAGCTAATGCGGTGGTACGGCATTCCTGCTTGCGAAGGAGGAGGTGGCGAGTGGGCCGGCATGTACGGCGCCGTATCCGCCATGCCCGCGCCGCCGTTGCTGCCCCCGCGGCCCGATCCACGGCTGGCAAGCATGGGGCTCGTGGCGGCGTGCATGGCTTGAGCTTGGTGGCTGTAACCGTTGTAGCCCTGCTGTTGTGTGGCCGCGCTCGGACCCTCCACAGCCCAAGTTGGTCGGCCACGCTTAAAACCTGCAGCGACGGGTGATGTCATTGGAGGGTTAGAACGCCCCGCTATACAGCGTGACGCGGGTTGGGCGACAAAGGCAGAATTGCGCATCCAGCCATCGCTAACGGAAAGCGAAAGCAAAGGCCAAGGACTACTACCAGCTATCCAGCCTTATCCAGCTTTGTCTTCTAAAATCCCCATCGCCAGGACTCACCGCTCATTTGCATGTGACCGTTGCCGTAACCGTCATGAACAACCGAACCCTGCGCCTCCAGCTGGTAGTTTGGGCCGCCAGCTTGGCACTCCGCATGGCCGCCGGGAGGTCGTACGTGAGCCCCTCCGCCGCCGCCGGCGCCGCCATCGCTGCCGCCATCCATCCTTTCCATGCCCACATAGCTGCCGAAGCTTTCAAACAGCGCATTCGCCGTTGCGCAATGGCTGGTAAACAAGTCCACGTCCATTGCCTCACTGCTGGCCAGGAACGACCCATGGGTCGCGTCCATGCGTTCCATTTCCTGGACGGTTGGCAGCCTGCTAGTGCCCGACGGTCCGTTTCCTGCATGTCCCCCGACTACTAGGCTCTGCTTGGGCTGCCCGGTAGCGGCAGCAGCAGTGGGCAAAGGCATGGGCGAATGGCGATGTGGGTCGCCGGAGAAAGGAGTCATCCCCCCGCCGGCGCCTCCGCCTTCGGATACACCGCGAAACCTGAAACCAGCGTCACCACCCGCAGGCACGCCGTTGTGGTTGTTGTTGTTGTACGGCATGCGGCTGTGGGGGATGCCGTGCGCCGCACCAGTGGAGGTTGCCTGAGACGTGAGGGTTAACTCAGAGTTGTGTCGAATGATGCCCGGGTGGCCTGCTGGATGCGAATGGTGATAAAGCTGCTGCTGATGATGATGTTGATGTTGTTGTTGCTGCTGCTGTTGTTGTTGCTGATGGTGGGGATGAGGATGATGGTGGTTCGTATTAAGATGCTCCTGAGCTGGGGGCATGGACTGCGAATAGTACGACGGCAGGGGCTGATGGTACGACCGCTGTTGTAGGAGCTGTTGCTGCTGCTGTTGCTGCTGTTGTTGATGTTGTTGTTGCTGCTGTTGCAGGACAGCGCTGAACTGTAAGGGCATCACCGGAGGTGCTGGCGTGAGGGCTTTCGGCGGCGGCACGGCACCGCCAGCATTCCAACAGCCCACGTCGGCTGCGGACACTCTCCGGGGCATCTCACCGCCCATGTGTCCGCTTCCAGCGCTGTAGTACAGCCCGCCTCCGTCGCCATTAACCGAATTGTACGGCAACGGTTGCGGCGGTTGGCTGTTGTGATGATGAATGTTGGGGTGGTACGGATGCGGAATCGGGGAAGGGTAGGAACACGGCGGGAGTGCCGGCGCGGTTTGCGCCCTCGATAGGTGGAAGGGCTGGGCAGCTGCAGATGGGCCCGGAGTAGCAGCAGCAGCAGCATGTGCAGCAGCAGCAGGTCCGCCCCATGCATGAGGGTGCGGGTGCGGGTACGGGAACGAGCCCTCGTGCATGTCCTCTGGCAGGCTGGTGAACTGAAGTTGGGTCGCGAAGGGGCTGAGGGCGGGTGTGGAGTGGGAGTGGACCAGGTGGTTGGGACGCGGGTGGTTAGGAACCGTTGCAGGCGCGGTGTGGGCTGCCGGTGGGGCGTTCGGCTGCTGGGCTGTAGAGTCCGCGCCTGGGGAGGGAGTTGCGCAGGAGCGAGGGAGGAAATTGCAGTGAGGTATGAGACTTGAGTTTCAGACAAGTCGCGTGTATGACCATACGACTTTGCTATCCTGCGGCTACCTGCAAGGATCTTGCGCCCTTCATCACGGCCTAAAGGTACAGGCGGGAAGGTAGGTAGGTGCAGCAAGGAAAGCCCGAAGCGTTCAAGCCACTAGATACCTGTACCCCGTAAACACCTCCTTGAATGGCCCAACCCAACCCCTCCAACCGCACCTGCCGCGTTCGAATTGAGGGGTTGCAGTTGGAGGCCCGTGGAGGCAATGCCGTTGTTACCGTTGTTGCCGTTGCTGCCGTTGTTGCCGTCCATGACGTTCACCACAGCCACGCCATTACCAGCTGCAGCTCCCGTGCCGACTGCAGCAGCGGCACCCGTGCCATCCTCGGCCACGGCGCCGGTGGCTATCACACCCGCGACCGTAGCGGATGTCGTGTTGGCTAGCGCGTGTGGTGAGGGACGCGAGCAGGCGCCCTGGAGTTGGTCGTCAGCGGCGCCGGGGCTGGCAAAGTTGGACTCGGCGGAGGAGGTGGTAGCGGCGGCAGGCGGGTCGTTGAAGTGCCCGGCGGCTGCATGCAGCAGCGGTTGGGAGTTGGCCGCCGCAGTGGCGCCTGGGTGCTCCTGCGGGGGAATGAAGGGAAGCATGGACGCTGGTCAAGGAGATACAACGTGTTGTTGTTCACTTGATGTTGCTGGCGAAGTGCATGACCAGGACTAAATACCATGTGAAGGCTAGGACCACGAGCCACCCATGCTATCTAGTCCTGCTCATGATGACCGGCAATGCCGGTAAAGGTGGTGATTTGGTGAAGTAGCTTAATCAAGCTCTCACCTGCAGGGCCGCAGCCGGCGCCTGTCCATGTGGCCCTAGCGTAGTAACGGTGAAGGCTGGCCTTGCGCCCGAAGAAGCAGAAGGCACAAGACCAGCGAGACCTGCTAGGCCGGCGCTTTCCAACTGCTCGTGCAAGCGGCGCAATGTTTGCTCAGAAGCGGCCGCAGCGGCTGCCGCCTCCTCGCTAGCAGCTAACGCTTGGGCCCCGGCGAGAGAGGCCGCGGCCGCCGCCTCTCTGGGTGAAAGCGCTGTATGACTGTACATAATTAGGCTGTTGTCTTGGCTAACACAGGCAAGGAAATCCGCTTATGACCGACGGTAGAACTGCGCATGGAAAGGAGCGTTCGGGCGCAACAGCCAAATTTCAGTGAGGGCTGATAACTACGTTACAGTAATATAAGGAGAAGTACTGCTGTTAACCTGCCGCTCAATGCCAAAGATTACTAGCCCTTCGACAACGCTGCCATCCATCCGCACAGCATTTGCCACTCCGGTCGCCAGCGCCGACAGAAGGTCAACGCCTCAGTGTTACCTTAATGAAGCCTCCTCGGGATGTAGACAACCGCACAAATCACATAGACGAGGATGGTGGCGCAGCGGTCGCAGATATACGAAGCGACGCGACCCGCCCTAACTCGCGAATCCCTGCGCCCCAAAGTGAGGGCCCATCAACTACAAATTATGACGCATCTATGCTCTTATTGCACTTGTGGTCATGCAGGCTCTTGTCGCGCAAGCCGGAAGAGCTCAAGGAGAGCCATTATAGCGTTTTATCCCGCTAAATGCCAACACGTACCAGAATACTACTCCAGCCAAGTGGAACGGGATGGCTGAAATAGCCTTTCATGTTCATAGAAAATAGTTAAAGCATCTGAGGTAAGCTACGCGAAAGTCCCCTCTTGACGTGACGGCGAGCCAACTGCCGTGCGTGGATCTGATACAAAGGCAGCGAGCAGCAGCGCACAAATGCTGTCTGTAGGCTTATTGAGCACTTTGCGCGTTGTCTTCTTTTGGATCAGAAGTGCCCTTGCTTCGATCGTCCATCCTGATTCGTGGTGGTTGGGCTTCTTGCGACCCACTGCAACCGACGCATGGTAACTGGCTCAAGCCAGCCCAAACCTGTTGAATGTTGATCATCACCAATTTCATAAATGGCTGCCAAACTAGATGCCTGGATATCAGCTGGCCTTGAAGCCCACCTTAGTGGCAGATCCCTATCAAATGTACACATTTCGTAATCACCCAGCAGTCAAACGAGGTCGGCCCATGCAGCCGACGAAAGGGCAGAGGCACTCGCCCTTACTGATGCCATTGACCATGGCGCAAGCTAATAAAGCTGCCCCTTTTACGTATCCGTCCAAGACAGGGCGGTTGCTCACCAGGGTGACGCAACGGCTTGGCAGCTGTGATGCCGCCGCCGGGATTGCGTTGGAGAAGGAGACCGAAAATGTTTAGCTGTGCCTGGCCCTGCACCCGTATCACTGCCAATTATCTCACGACGCGCGTGCGCCATGTATGTTTAGTGCCACATACCACCAAATGTTCGCAAAAGATAAGGCAAGGCCCTAACGTGGGCGTTAGGAAGTATCGTGGTTGTGCTCGCTGTTGATTGGAGTGTAGAGGCCTTGCCGTGTCACGTCCTCACGTGGGGATGGACTCTACGCGTGTGAGTTGCCGGAGCCGCGCGGGAATTTCGCAAATGGCACAATCTTACGAAATAATAAACATTTATAAGTACAATAACCAAAGCAGTAATGACATTTAGCAAGGGTGACAGAGGGGAGAATAAAGACAGCTGACCGTCGAAAGGCCCCGCGCGGACGGGTCTTGCATGCCAAAAGGCGAGAGTAACAGGCGCAATCCAAGCTGCAAACAAATGTTCATAAATGCGTACTTGGAGTACCGGTAGTACAGTTATGATCCATGTTTCGGAGCGCAGTATTGGCGGGAATTAATCCCCTTTATAACCATGAGTTGGCAAGATCAATATGTTCGCTGCCTTGTTGAAACCACACCTGCCGCGCGGTTACCTCATCTCCCGCAGCCGGTGTAACATCCTCGTAGTACGCACTATGGAGGCCTTGGCTACAAGCAACCCTAACATCCCAAAGGAGGCCCCTATGTCTACCGAGAAGCCAACAAAGATCCCTCGCCTAGAGAAGGAGGACGCGGTCGCAAACGAGAACGGTTCGTCTAAGCTAAGCGAGGAGCCAGCTACCAGGCCCAGCGAGGAGCCAGCTCAGGTTGCAATTGCGGATGTGGAGGAGAAACTGCTTGTCAAGAAGCTTTCAGACAAGGCAACGCTACCTAAGCGGGGTTCTGCGGGCGCTGCTGGCTACGATTTGGCCAGGTGCGCATTGATTTCGCCCAGCCGCAGCTCGTTATCTGCGTTTAAGTATAACTAATTATCTGAGTATTTGCACAGTGCTGAGGAGAAGGTGGTGCCTGCGCGCGGCAAGGCCCTCATCAAGACCGACATTGCCATCCGCGTGCCGAAAGGCACCTACGGCCGCGTTGCTCCACGCTCTGGTTTGGCCTCTAAAAACTTCATCGACACCGGTGCGGGTGTGATTGACGAGGACTACCGCGGCAACGTGGGCGTGCTCCTCTTCAACCACTCGGACGAAGACTTCCAAGGTATGCAGGGGTGCGCATGGCCAGCCTAGCCTATAGCACATAACGCTTTCATTGCAGCTATTCGCTACGTCGCCCCCATCCTTTATTCCTCGTCTTACACCTACCGTGTCCCTTCCTTTCTTCCATCATCCTTGCTCGACCAACCGCGTTCCCCCTTCCAACCCACAGTCAAGGTCGGCGACCGCGTCGCTCAGCTGGTTCTGGAGCGCATCGCTGTCCCTGACGTTGCTGAGGTGGAGGAGCTCGATAGCACGGAGCGTGGCGCCAACGGCTACGGCTCCACCGGCGTTGCGGCCAAGTAACTGACACAAGAGATGGAGCAGCTTGCAGCGCCACCTGATACTGTACGACATTGTGTCATATCGATGTACCACCACTGTATTTCCGTTGTGCAGGTTTGCTGGTAGTGAATGATTCGGCTGATGGCTGGTGGGAATCGTAGCGAGCGCACAAAGCAGGGGGGCTGGTCGTAACTTGGCGTGCGAACAGGGTGTGTAGTTTGGTCTTTGTTTTGTTCATGTGTACATGTCTTCGTACATGTGGGTTTCGGCAGCGAGAACTGGCATTCGTGCAGGTGTGCGGTTTGGGCAAATTTGGAACAATTAGTGTCCATGCCCCCTGACAGCTGTTGCTTCCGATGTTACAATCGCACATCAGTACGTCCCGTTGAGCACGGCAGGCTTTCCACGTAACCGAGAGCGAATGCCAGGTCTAGGCGCACTGCTCTAGTAACATGTGGGCAACTGTAACATCCGATGTTTGAATCACCGTGGCACGATTGAGGACAGTTGCGAGCCTCGCAGCCAATTGGTGCTTGCACTGCGAATGCGAGCAGAAGATGTAGGAGAAGCAAGAAGTTAGTTTGTGAAGCGTACAGGGCCTTAACTAACCAGAGTATACATGGGAGTTGTTGAAAGCATTGCTAGGGTTCCTTTACTTACGCAGACAGCCTCGCTCCTGCCCACGACGTCGTATAAGAAGGACTGGCACGAGCAGTAGTGAGCAGGAAACACAATGTATTGGTCCGCGGGTCGCTTGCCAGGCACCTGCACATGCGTTAATCCCATAGTCAGCGAAGGGGTGGTAGCACAGGTGCATGCACGCTTCAGAACGCAAACTATGTCCCGCACCTTGTACACCTTGCGTCCGGTCTCCTCTCCTACGTAACAAACAATGCCTCCACCGTCCACCACTTCCAGGGCCTTGGCAAAGTTCTTGCCGTAGAGCATGTGAAGGCTGTTGCAGGGACCCAGACCAAGCCGCGCAAGTTTACAGCATAGTCACGGCAGAACATTTGCCAAAACTATATTATCGTTCTTGCGTCCTTACCTTGCTAGAATCTCGTCAGGAACTGCGACAGCCAAGAACAAAGCGCGTCAACGACGCCATGCCACCAAAGCCTGGGTAACCCCTACTTACTATCATCATCTTGACCGGAGTCAATAAGCTCTTGAAGCTCCGCAAAACAGGCATCACCAGCCCTGGGAAGACCACGGAAAACAGGCATCACCAGCTAATTCCATGCCGAGCTCAGCATGCCGACCGAAGCCAGGAGCACACCTCGCTATGGTCGGGACTTTCGCCGCTTGCTGTTCTGACATTAGCGCCTGGTTCAAATAATCCTTAGGCAACTGAGTCAAGTGAAGACATTTTCCTACGATGACATGGACGTCTACCGGTATTACGAGTTCACAACCGCATCGTCGATACAAACGTTCCACTGTAACCGCGCTGTACCAGACCAGTTTCAGTTGGCAGGAGTCGGCGGACGTGTCTTGGTTCGCTTGTCGATGGGTACGAGAGATCACGGGATACAGTTACATGCCTTACATGCCACGGCCAATTAGGGGATCTTCGCCTTTCCCCCGACCTGTGCTACGGGCGCCCGCCATATCCTAACAGCTCGCGCCAGTCCCTCACCGTAGTTCTTCAATTATCACCCAGCCCGCTGAGCAACTAAAGCCCAGCCAGCACGCCTTCGCAAGCCCTGCACCTTACCGAAAGCGTCCAGCCAGCAAACATACCAAAACTTTTCCGCGCCTCCTCCTTTCCACGCAAATACTGACCGTTCGCGTGCCCAAACACAGACGAGGCGTCAACAGTTGATTTACAACACCCATGCGAGGGGAATCCTGGGGGGCACCGAGGCACGCGGAGATCTACCCCCCTACACGCGTCCAACCACGGAACAGCCTATCTACTTGCGACATGTGGGTTCCTCCAAAACTTCACAACGCCACTACCGTTTAAGAACATGCAGAGGACACGGCAAACTACGCCCTGTAGCTATCCGGCTAATCTGGCCCAAAACGTTTGCCAAGTCTCGCTTAATAATACGGGAATCCAAGATGCACCCAAAAGTGTCATGTTCTGTTGTATGATGTGCATCGTACGGCACGTGTGCATAATACTAGCCCCGCAATGTGTCTCAACCTCGTACGTTGTCTGCTTGTCTCTTGCCATACCTAGGTGCCTTGCAACGGTTGCAAGCAGCACAACCACCCTTCCCGCCTCCTTCATGTTGGGCGGCTTACATGCAGCGTCCTGCATTCAAAAGCTTCCATGCATGCCAAACAGCCTGGCGTGGAACGTCCCTACTGCTACCAATCCTGAGACCCCTCCGTACCTCTCCTCCTCTCGCCCCACCCCATCGGACCATCTACCCTATATATCCCCCCGCTCAACGCATGGCACTTCTTCTTCTGCTGCTTCTCCCCCCCGCCCTATTATGGTATGATCTTTGACACCCTCCTCCCCTCCCCCCGCACCCCCTCACCACACTTTGGAATTTCTTTTTTTCCCCTTCCCCCCGCCGGGTCCACCGCCCCGCCCTACTCCACATACACCCTCTGCGCCCCCGCCTGCAGCACCAGCCGCCCCGCCCCCAACAGGTCGTAACCCAGCACCATCACCGGGCCCCCGTCCAGCCCCAGCGCCGAGAAGGAGGGCAGCTCGCGAACCATCAGCGCCAGACCGCGACTGGGCACGTAGCGGGAGTCTGGAGGGCGGGAAAGAGGGGGGCATTCGGCATGCGTCGAATGAGGGGGGATATTGGGGATGCGCGGGAGGGGTTACAGAAGCGTAAGGAGGGTGCGGGAGGAGGGTGCCATGCACATGCAAGAGAAGGGCATGACAGCCAGCGTGGTATTTAGTAATTGTAATGAAAAAAGATCCGGATCTGTCAGTACAGTTTGCCGTACACCCACCATCGTCTCCGAGCACCACGTTTAGATAGCCCCGCGGGTCGATCTGGCCGGAGGAGGGATGAAGTGTGCGGGTGAGGGTGCGGGTTGCAGGGATGGGGGCCGTCAAAGTACAAATGAAAGCATTTGTGCCTTTAGTCAAACCGGTGACGGCAAACGGTCAACGTCAAACGGTTAACGTCACCGGTAACAGGAAAGTCATGCATGCGGGAGTCGCTGGTCGCAGGTCGTTATGCGGGAAACACGGACACGGACACAAACGTCACATGGCAGTTTGCTTGAAACCTGTCAAGCCTCCGCCTACCTCTGCCGCTCCCGCTGCTGCTCCCCCTCCCTTTCCTCCGCCGCCCGCACCAGCACTGCTGCTGCCGCTCCCCTCCCGCCGCACCCCCGCCAGCTCCGCGGCTTGCCAGTTCAGGATGGAGAAGTTGGCTCCCAGGTCCAAGATGGCCGGGAAGCGGGGGGAGCCGTTAAGGGACACGGGCACCCCCAGCAGACCGCCTGTGGGAGGGGCAGCCGGGCGCATGAAGGGCGCATGAAGGGCGCATGAAGGGCGCGAAGAGGAAGAAACGACCCTGCTAAACGGGCGTTCAGCGTTTACCTTCCCCCCTGCATCCCCTCATGCCGCCCTCCCCCTCATGCCGCCCTCTTACCCTTCAGCACCTCGCAGCGCAGGCATGTCATGCCCCGCACGTCCAGCAGCCCCTTGTCGATGTGCCCCGGCGGATGGAAGGCCAGCCGCTGCAGCTGCGGACTGATCTCCACCTCATACTGGCGCAGGAAGCTCAGACCCAGCACACCGCCTGGGTGGGGGGCGGCAGGGGCCGAACGGGGAGGGGCCGAAGGGGAGGGGGTAACGGCAGGGACCGAACGGGGGATTACAGGGGAACCGCGCGCTGCAGGACGAGGGCCATGCTGGTGATACAGCAGCAGTGCCGGCAACTCAGCACCTTCCCGGCCGCCTGCGATGCCTGCCAGCATGGACTCGGGCTGTGTCTGGCATGGGCATGGTCGGGTTGTGGTGGTTGTGGATGGGGCGGCACAACCAGCCAAGGGCCGCAGCACTCACCTACTTCCACGTTCCGCCCCTGCGCTGCCCCCCGGCACTCCAAAAAGCCGCGCCCCTGCTTCCCCCGCATGCAGCCATAGCACCCCCCCCGCCCCCGCCCCCGGCCCCCCCAGCCAAGCCAGCCACACTCACCCACTTCCACGTCGTGCTCCGACTTGAGTTGTGTGACGTACGCCTCGCGCAGGTCCAGCAGGCGGGGCCCCAGTCGCAGCGGGGGCAGCCGCACGCGCTGCCGCAGCGTCAGTCCGCCGCTGTCAACACCCTTGACCACCTGGCAGGAGGGGGGGCGGGGGCGTGGAACAATAAGGAGGAAGAGACCAACCAAAACTGTCCGGAGACTGACCGGTTGCTCCACTTCTCATCCACCTCATCCACCTGTCGACGCCTTATCAAACGGTTACGGTAGTCAGTTCTCATCCACCTTCCCTCCCCTACCTGCCCATCACTAACCATCAATTTGTGTTTTGGCACCCTGCCGCCTCCTACCCCCATTGCTTTGCCCTAACCTGTGGTCTCCTATGGTTTGGTACCTGGTCTTTGACCCCCCCCCACCTGCCCGTCACTAGCCATCAATCTGTGTTTTGGCACCCTGCCGCCTCCTACCCCCATTGCTTTGCCCTAACCTGTGGTCTCCTATGGTTTGGTACCTGGTCTTTGACCCCCCCCACCTGCCCGTCGGAGGGACTCAGCCCCAGCCGCTCCCTCATCTCCCCGGTGATCAGCGCTCCGCTGCTGCCGCTGTCCAGCAGGAAGTTGACGAAACCCACATCCTCGACGTCTATCCAACATGGGGCGGGGAGAAGGGGTGGCAGGCGGAGGGTAGACACGGGAGGCAGGGATGGGCAGGAATGGGCCGGGAGGAGGCAGGGAGGTACCGCGTTTAGGGTTATAAGAGGGAGGTAAAGAACGAGAGGGGGAGGGTATCAGTGGGTTTGAGTTGGGGGGCCATTTGGAGAGGCCAGGGCACCAGCGGACCCCGCCTGCCATCCAACCCAATCCCACGGCCAGCGGGCGCTGTCGAACCGGGGCGCCGGCGCGGACATGCCGCAAGTCCCCCCAAGACCCAAGACAACCAATACCTTCTCGTGTACCCACCCCAGGTACCTCCTCCCCCCCCCCGGCGGCCATACCGATGGGTGCCACCAGAAAGCTCTTGGCGGCGCGGGGGCTGCGGGGGGTCTTGCGGAGCGGGTACGACACAACCTGGGACAGGAGGCGGTAGGGGGAGGAGCAGGGAGGGGGCAAAACGTTGGGGCGAGCAATGAATAGGGGGGATTCGCCTCCCGAAGGGATCCATGAGGAAGTTCCCGTGGCCGGAGTGGCCTGGCCCATGACGGCCTTTGCTATCGACGCATGGCACAAGTTGGGGACTGGGGGGTAAGGAGAGCGGGAGGACAGCGGGAGCATGGACAGGTGCAGGGTGGAAGGAGGTCTGCCTAGACTAACTAGGGAGCCATCTGGAGCCATGGGAACATTCCGAGAAAGATAGGACCAGCACACGGCAATGACCCTCCGTGTTGCAGGCGGCCTAAAACCCGGCGGCCTCCTTTACCCCCCCCCCCCACCTGTGCCCGGGCTTTCAGGTTGGTCTCCGCCAGCTGCTCCAGGAGGGGCTCCCGGGAGGCGGGCAGCGAGGATTCGGAGAAGCCTGGCGGGGGGCGGAGCGGGGGATGGGGGCCGGGACGGGCGGGGCATTGCGTATAGTCAACTGGCCGCAAAATTGGCACTGGCCTTGTATAGCTTAACCGAAACGGAGCTGGGGAAAAGAGGACTGGCCAGGACAGAGGCACGGGGATGATGCGTGAGGATGGATGGAAATGATGGAAGGCATGAAATGGAGAGAAGAGTGTTTTATTTGGGGTGTTTGCGGTGCAGGAGTTGAGTTTGTGGCGCAGGAGTTGAGGAGCTTTTCATTAGTGGAGAAGTGATGGCGAGTATGGCCATCATGGCGCATCCTACGATGATGGATGGTACGGTGTAGCGGTGTAATTGATGAAAGTGGTGCAATGGAAAGACTTTGTTACAAGCGGTAGGTACATGTGTTCAGCGTGTCGCACCATGCTTTATGAGCCGGGCCCGAAGGTCGTCGATGGGCATGTCCGCAAGCAACGCCCGCTCTCGCTCCAAAGCTTCGGAGCGAGCCAACGCTGTCAGCGCTGCTAGGTCCTCTGTCGACCTCGTTATGAGACGTCGCCGTCCATGCCACTGCCGTCGGTCGCGGTGTAGCAAGAATATTGCTTCGCTGCGAGGAACAGCATTACATCTCCCGGCACTGGGGCGATACGAGTACGATGGAACTGTGCTTCCTCGAGAGCTAGCTAGGGAGTGGCTTAGTATGCGACACTGCGTAAGGCAAGCCATGCTAACGCCCGCGTGCCAGGGTTGCGCAATAGGGTTCTCAGCCTATGCAAGTTTCGCGCCCGATAAAAGCTGTATATACACAGATCATACTGTGTATAGACGATGGATAGCATGGAGTGGCAAAAGAGGGCATTGGGAAGTATTACGTCTTTGCCGTACTCCAGGCTACGAGATAGCCGCAGGTTACGCATGATCATGAACTTCACTAGATTACTCCCATACTTTCACATTAAGCTGACGGGGCTGTTAACAATATGTCTTTATCTGCCTGAAGCTTTTCTCTAGTTAACTTGCCGTTCAACTTAGGCTTGCTTGCCGCTTGCTATCGGCCACCACGTATCACTATGCGTTCTGGACTGCCTGGCTGCACGCTTACCTCTGGCTTACCAGCCAACCTCGCGCCCTTACCTTCAACATCGGCGGCCATTTTCCGCCCACCGTCTGGTCCTGCGATTCCACCGCCTTGCCGCAGTCCAACTGGGCTAAGAGCTGACGGGCCAATGGCTGGCGGTCTCGCAGCATGCAGCATGACGGTGCTAGCCTCACCACTGCTGCCATTGTCAGCCTCTGCTGGCACCGATGGTAGCTGCGCTGCCCAGAGCCTTCGGGGCGGTGGCGATAAAGCACGGTTTGTCGGGCAGGGCGCCAGGCCTGCCGAAGAGTACCACGAAAACGACTTTGACTGGGAGGAACATGCGCAAGCTGTACGACACATTGTGGAGGCACAGCAAGCGCAGGCGCTTGCCGTACAGCCAGCAGCACAGTCAACCCTTCAGAGCCAGTCTCCGGCACACAAGCAGCATCAACAGGGGCAGACGTTGCAAGGGCAGTACTCCCAGCTGCTGCCTCAGGTGCAAGGGTTCTCGGCGCATGGGAGCGCTCAGCAAGGGCGGGGCCTGCCCGTGGATTGCGACCAGAACCCCAGTTGCAGCAGCGCCGGACGGGGGGACGTAGCTGCAAAGGACGGCGCCGCTGTCAGCGGTAGCACTAGCGCTTCTGGCAGAGCCCACGTGGATAGCACAGCCCTGCCTAGCTGCGACCAGTTGTCTTTGGGTCCTCCGGAGTCCCAATTCCAGGGAACAACAATGACGACAGCAGCAGCATGCCAAGGCGCAACAGCACACGATCAGAAACAGCAAAAGGAGCAACAACCCAATCTCCATCTAGGGGCTCAGCGACAGTTGGTGCTGCAACAGCAGCAGCAGGAGCGGCGGCACCCAGAACCATCGGCAACGACGACCCATGGGTCATATGAAGGCTCCAAATGGGAGGAGTTTTACCGCTCGCATCCTTCTGCGCGCTTCTTCAAGGAGCGACGCTACCTGTTGCTCGAGTTCCCGCAGCTGCTGGGGCCCGATGTACGGCACGTGGCCGAGATTGGGTGCGGCTGCGGCTCCTCCATACTGCCCGTGCTGAAAGGAAACGCCGCGGCTCGAACCACGTGCACGGGTGAGGTTTAGGGGAGGGGGTGCTGTACGGTATTCACCATGTTAGGACTTATGCGATGTGGGTCATGGAAGCCAACGCATGTTAGTGGGCCGTGGAGCGGCTAAGGCCCCCGCTGCTGCCCTCCCTGCTTTGCTCCATTGAATCCCACCACCTCACCACCCCATTCCACCTGCCGTACTTCCCGACAACATCGCAGACATCTCAACCACGTGTTTAGACCAGCTCCTAGCCGCAGCAGCATCGGAGGGCATCGCTCCAGAGCGGCTCTCCGTCTTCCCGGCCGACGCAACCGATCCCGCAGCCGCACCCGCTTTCGAGGGCGTCAATGCGGACGCGCTGCTCATCATGTTTACGCTGTCTGCGGTGCCGCCGGCACAGCAGCACGTGATGCTGAGTCATGCATGGCGGGCGCTGGCACCTGGGGGGCGGCTGATGATACGGGATCACGGACTGTACGACATGGTTCAGTTGCGGATCCCGGCTGACCAATGGGTCGGTCCGAACCTCTATAAACGCGGCGATGGTAAGAACAGACGAGAGAGTCTTGTACGGATTATGTGCGCGCGCCTGGCTTTGTAATCATACCTCCATTGTCGTGTTCGCTCTTCTGCACGGCTCATCTTCTAGGCCCTAGGCCCAAGCCTGCACGGCTCATCTTCTAGGCCCTAGGCCCAAGCCTGTCTAGTTATCGAACCTTCCTGCTCGCTTGCATCCTTCGTTTTCAAGCAACAACGCAGCTCTAGGCCACTAACGCTTCTGCCCCAACCCACATGGCGCTTTTCACCGCACGACAATGTCACGTCACGTGTCAGCTCATGGCCCCAGATACGATACATGATACCCCTTGCATGACGCGCCCCCTATCCCTATTGTCTTGCCCCAACCTGTGGTTTCCTATGGTTCGGTACCTGGTCTTTGACCCCCCTTGTCCCCGGACATTCCCCCGGCAGGCACCATGGCCTACTTCTTCAGCACAGAGGACCTGACGCAGCGGTCAGCGGCTGCGGGGTTCACCGTCTCGGAGTGCCGGTACGTCACCGTCTTCAACCGCAACCGCAAGACGGGGCAGCAGCTGCGACGGGTCTTCGTGCACGGCGTGTTTGTGAAACCGCACGTGAGTGAATGAGTGAGCCGGGCTGTAGGGTCGCTGCAGGATGTGGTGGAGGTTAAGATAGTTATCACCGTTGTGTGACGACAACGGAATCCAACGGTCTGCGAGTTCGGGATCCCGCCGGAGGCTGGGTCTGCTGGGGCAATACCCAACAGAGGGAGCTAAGAATGGGAGGGCGAGGTGCGCGGAGGGACGACTCGTGGGTTGTTACTGTTACCAGACCATTGCAGGTAGACGGACAACCCCTGATTGCACATACCTTGTGCGTATGTTCGTATGTTGCGCGCGAATGCGTTTTCGGTGGACCACATATATACGGTGTGCGGCTGCTACGTTGTACGGATATTAGACGTCAGTTGTCTTATTGGAAGTGTGTTCCGCGTTGGCACAATGGCCTCGGAATCCTTTTGGTGCACGGTCGCGTACAGTCGGCACAGTATGGAAACATACGGTCTTCCAACGGCGGTGCCTGTGATTTGGGTTGCTGCTGTAGCGTGAGGGGATGATAATATGCCGTACGTACTCTATTTTGTTGACGGATTGGTTTGGCGAAAGCATGGAATGCTTCACTAGGTGTTTTGACTGTACTGCATTTGGGTAGAGTGCATTGCCTGCAACGGGACGTGGATAGGCATGATCGGTTCGATGCGGCCTGGGAAAGGCTGTGCGCTTGCATCTTTCGCTTGGACTCTTCTCCTCGTGCGCCGATTGAGCGGACATGGGCATGCAGGCGTCGCAAGACGCGAAGGGATTCCGAGGCTTCGTAGGTGAGGGGTAGCCTGCTACTTTCTTCTTTAGGACAGGTATACGGAGCTTTTTGGGTTTGCAGCTTGTTGATTGCTTGGAATGACCTTGTGGTATTGCATGTCCTTAGTTTGTGACTCCACTTGTGTATGGAGGTGGGGTGCTTACCTGCGCACGTCTCGCTCTTGGCCTTGTTGTGCCAATCACCAAACTCTCGGCTGAGGTCATGTGTAGAGTAGCAAGGCCTGTTTGGTAATCGCCTTTGTGGACAGGATGGGAGGAATTTCCTCCCCTCTGTGCTAGTCGCAGACAGGCTGCACAGGACTGCTGACTGCAGGTTCAACATGCCGACCGACATGTACGACGTACGCCTTGGTGGCTTGCCGTCTTGCTCGTGGCTTCGTGGATTCCGATTACGCATGCTTTCCAACATCTTCTTCTACACGTTGCAAAGCTGCCCTGTCGATGCGAGTACTGCGGGACGGTTAGCTCCGTGGTTGGTCGTAATGCAATACATTGCAGGTTTAAATGGCGAATAGTACTGTGCTCACAACAACTCTTTCATGCCGAGGCTCGCTGTAAAACACTGAATAGCTTCGGCCACTCTTTCGTTAACACCCGTACCGGTGCCCTGTGTACTCTACTTGGTATCAACGCCCAAACTTAGACAAGATTGTTCTCGGATCAAATAATTAGGATATGGCTACGTAATTGTTATTGGCCAGTGTTTGACCAGCTCCTTCACTAGAATTCAGTATCCAAAATCGCGACTTTGGTGGCGTAACGTCAGCTTAAGTCTAACCTAGGGGCAGAAAGCCCCGCCTTAGAGAGCAGGGCGTCGATTGGGCGTGCTCTCACGGAATGGCACTGATTACCAGCGCTCAGGCCTTCTCGGGCGCCCTTTCGGATTTGCAAACCTTGTTTGGCACCCTGAAAAAGTATGAAGCCACCTTTTCAGCGGAGGCAAAACAGCTCTTTCAGGTGTGACGGGCATGGGAGGCGGGCTCTAGCGAAGGAATTGCCAGCAATATGACTTAGACGTCAACCATCATCCATGCAAAATGATGATCGCGAATGCAGAGCACAATTATATCGGCAGATCAAGCTCTAAAGGAGCTTGAGAGCTTGCCACCAGCCGATGATACGTCGATTGCTGGCTACCTGGCAACAGGTAAAGTTCCTGCCCCATTAATGGCTCAACGAATCACAGAAGCCGAGAACTCTCATTTCACAGGATTCCGCAACTCCGCATAGGTAACAAGACAATGAGCCTGCGGGCTGTGCTGCAGCAAGTGCAGCAGGCCGTGTCAAACTTCACGTCGGGAGCAATTCCTGTTCCCCGGAGCTCAAAGGTTGGTATAGCAATCTCATGCACGCCTGTCTTGGTGACTGACCGTGGCTAGTGACGTCCACAGGAGGAGCTCTCGCGGGTCCACGGTCTAATCCTCAACATAAAGTTCGCTCTGTCGTCGGAGCAGCAGCTCTTGATTACGCAGCTGCGGAAGTTGGTGGGTCATGTGGGGTTGGATTGGCCTGGGGAGGGGGGTGTTCGGCAGGACCGGGGGGTTTACGCAGACCAACCACAATGGAGACGGATCGGATCATGGCAAGCGGGGTGTGAGCTTGACAGGACCATTGGTGCATTCCAAAGCGCCCTTCACCACCTCGCGTGTTTCCTGTGCCTGCAGTGCATAGAGGTTGAGACCCAGAAGCAGGACTTCGACGTGATCGAGACACACCTTGATAACACCATGCGCAACGTACTGCAGCAAGTGCATGGCAAGGCGACGCTCGACTCGGAGGTAGGTTTGTACTCGTCACGCAGCCTCTTCGTGCTTGAATGGAGCCCTGCATGCATGGGTAGATGGTATCCCTGCAAGCAAGTGTTCCGGTGCTATGGGCTCAGGGCTATGGTCCGCAACACTGCAATCGCCTGAGGCATGTTGCATGGGGCCGCGGCGCGGCGCGAAGCTTTCAATATGTCACCATCCATCCTCTATAACACAGCCCACTCGCACGTCCCATTCATGTCATTCGCTCATCACCTCGCTGTGCCGCACGTCCTCCAACACCTCCGTCACCCCCACAGGTCCTGCAAACGGAGATGGAGCGCTTGCAGGGGGTCATGCTGGCCGCACGCGCGGCGGGCGTCAAGCAGCTAGAGGACATCCTGGCCCTTGCCATGAACAGCCTGCAGCGCCTGCACGTGTGCGATGCGGAGAGCGACGATGACGAGGAGGATGGCATTAGCGGCGGCGGGGCGGCTCTGGGCGGCGATGACTTTGATGACGATGACGACGATGACCCCTTCTTCATGCCCATGCCCGGGGCGATCAAATGGGCGGAGGCCTCCAAGTTCATGGAACTCGCCAAGCCGCTGGCGCCGGAGCAGCCCGCGGACAAGCAGTTCATGATCGTCATGGAGGACGGCCCGGAGGAGGGTACGTGCTGGGCCGCAGGGTGGCAAAGGGACGTTACACAGCTTTTGTTTTTTTCCCCTGACACAGCTTTTGTTGGACTTGGGTCAGGGACCAGGATCTTGCTAATGCCACGGGGGGAGGGTTCGTATCTAACGGCGGACTCCTTGCTCGAATGTTTCCCTTTGCAGAGGGTAACCGGGTGCCGGCGGCTTTCGCAGCGGATATGTTCCAAGCGCCCAGCGTCAGCACAACAGCAGAGTCGTCACCCAACGCCATGCAGCAGCTGACGCTTGAGGACGCCGCGCAGCCCTCTGGGCAGGAGCCCGCGGCGCCGGCAGCGTCAACCGCGGAGCCGGCGGAGGAGGAGGCGGAGGAGAGCACAGCCGCGGCGAGTGCGGAGGTTGTGGGCGCGGCTGCAGCGGCTGAAGTGGTGGAGGCAGCGGAAGCAGTTCAGGAAGCGGCCGTAGCTGGCGGTGTGGTGGCGGAGGAGGCGGTTGCAGACAGCGCTGCAGCTGCGGTTGCGCCCGTTGAGGAAGAGGTGGCAGGGACGCCAGCGGAGGCGGAGCTTCAAGAAGCAGTTACGGAGCCGGCGGAGGGGGCGCCGACTGCCGCCGAGGCGTCTGCTGCTGCGCAAGCGTCCGTTGCCGAAGCTACTGCGGAGCCTTCGGTTACGTCGCCACGGCCACGTCCAGCTGCAGGGGTAAGCGGAGAAAAAGGTGGCGGGCTCACCGGCCGGGGTTCATGGGGGTTTTCTTAGGGCAGATGCAGCGCGTCTGTACACGTGCATTGTGGTGAAGCTGACGCCCCAGGGCGTGGCTAAAGAGGATCGCCGTGTGTAGCGGAAGTCTGCTGCGCATGGCTGGTTGTTGGTTGTTGCGCTCCGCCAGGCTCCGCTAGCCTAGTTGCATGAAAGGGTACGGAGCCAGCATCGTGCGAAACCGGACAAGCAAGGCATGGGGTGCCTAGGAGTCCAGCCAACTCTACATTGATTGGCAACGAGCTGTGCTTGTCCTCACGTACGGCATTCGTCGTTGCTATCTTCCTGCTGCAGGCATCAGCCCCACCGCCCGTTGCCGCCCCGGAGACCACAGCAGCAGCAACAGCACCTCCCGCCGCCGCTCCCAGACCGGGGGCGCCCGCACCCGGGCAGGCGGCCGCTGGGGGCACTCCGGAGACCGCCAACCCGGAGAAGCTTACGGATTTCGTCAACTTCCTCAACGGCGAGAACCCCGGGGCCTGCATGTTCCATGCGCAGATGCGGCTCTCGCCCGAAGGCTGCACCAAGCTGGCAAACTTCCTGCGCAGCAGCGCGCGTGTGCGCGCCCTGTCGCTCTCGCACAACTACCTAGGTACGTTTCTCTCACGCCAGACCAGTTTCGCAAACGTGGAGCGTGTTGCGGACCGTGGGTCACCACTGCCATGGGTCCCCTCTGCTCAGGAACGCGCTTCCCTTGCTGTTCCGGAGCTGTTCCCTACATCGTGTCTTCCTTTTTTCATCCAACGGCCTTTCCACTGCATCTTTACAACTACGCAGGGGATGCGGGCCTGCGCCTCATATGCGAGGGCCTGCGTGAAAACAGGTCCGTCACCGCGCTCGACCTGCCGGACAACAACATCACGGACATCGGCGCCGCCATCCTGGCGGAGGCCATCAAGGACAACCCCAGCCTCACGCAACTGCAACTGGCGTATAACAAGATCGGGGACCAGGGTGCCATCGCACTCGCGCAGGTGTGAACTGCTGCCCGGGCTGTTGAACCGGCGCGCTTTCGTCAAGTAATTGATCTTTTAAGAACCCAGTGACATCTGCATCAATCGCAAATCCCATGCATGGAGGCTGTTTGCTGCTTCTTTCTGACCGACGTATGCCGCATTTTTCTGTGCGGTTCCCCGGGTGCGCGCGTGCAGGTCATCCGCACAAGCCACAGCCTCAAAAAGCTGGGCCTGGCGTTCAACAACATCGGCAAGGTGGGCTGCCAGGCGCTCACCGCCGCCATCTCCAGCAACCAGTCCCTCAAGCACATGCAGCTGCTGCCGGGGAACCCCGTGGAGGAGAAGGACGCCAAGGCACTTGCCAAGGCACTTAAGCGCAACAACAAGTTCAGCATCAAGCAGCTGCTGGGCTTGAAGGGCGACGCGTAAGGCCCCGGCAGGGACGCTGCGGTTTGTGAGCTGAACATGGCAGTTGCGGCAGTCCCGGCGGAGGCGCTGTTGGGGCCGGTGTATTGTTCCACCACATCATACAAAAGGGTGCATGTGGGTGACTGTGGTTGCGGGTATAACGGGACCAAAGAAAGGGCTGTGGGACTGGATTAGAGAGTTTGCCAGATTAGGAATGTGGAGGCATGTGGAAGGCGCTCTTTGTATCGGTGTTACGTCTGAAGGTGTGTTGAGTGGAGGGGTTGTTACGTAATGGGGGCTTGAGCACGGCAGCAATGCTGAGCTGCCCAGGACCTCCCGTGCGTGCAACCTTTCGGTAAGGCTAGCTGCAGGCGTGATGCATTGGTGAGTGTGAGGTGCATTGCGCTTTCCAAGAGCTGAATGTGCAGTCAAGGCCGGGAGACTCGACTGCTGACATGTTCGCATAACTGGGCAGTGACAGTCCGTGCGCTAATGACCAGGGTGCTTATGCAAGAAGTCAACCCGAGGGGGTGGGCTCTTTTTGTGGGGCGTGCAACACACGTGCGGTGCCGGGTGGTTGCCACGGGTCGATGTCGTTTACCGTGAAGAAACAGCTGTTGTGCGTGTACCGTGTTTGTTCCTTTGTGTAGGCTCGTTCGAGGACGCTCGCTGTTAATCTGTGTATGCCGTTACTTGTGGACTTGAGTGGCGCTGTGACAAACCCCAGTATGCGCTTGCTCGCAGAGTCATGTTCTCGTACGTTGTTTTTTATCCGCCTTGGCTCGGGTAGCCCCTTAGGGCATTGTGCTTACTCCGATTCAGCACAGATTCCAAGGTATATATGGGATCTGGCTGTGTTGCCAGGTAGTAATACATGCATTAATATCTTTGCGTTATACACCTGTTACAAGCTATCAGAAGTCCCTACACATGGCTCCGCTGATGCAGTTCGTGGATAGCCAAATTACGAAACAATCCTCATACAAGACGTCGCCATATGTACAGCTGTTATACGGTCCACTTCGAGATCTTCTATGGCCACTTCGTACTACTGTACGACCAAATGCTACGATATAGCCTGACGCAGAACCTTTAATCTAAGCGTAAGATTAGTATAGGCTAGCAATACGAAAAATGACAGTCCACGTAGACAAGCGCAACGCCTCCGCAACATAGCCCTCATGCTCGCCCGCCAAGAAAGCAACCTATTTATGTACCAACTGCTTTCCAGCATCCTGTCAGCACCGGCCATCCAGGTATCTACCAAGCAAGCACTCGAAGCAGCGTCGATCTGGCACTACAGCACAGCCGCTACCCCTTCTTGCCTTGCTTCTTGTTGGGCTTGTCTCCGCGGCAGATGGGGCAGTACCATTGGCCCACGGGTGTCGCCTTCAGGCCCATGCACTCGAAGTGGAACCACTCAATGGTGCAGTCGGGATGGTCGCAGCCCACCATTTGACCCGCTGAGGGCTTGTTGCAGATGCAGTACGCCGGCTCGTTCTCGGTGGCCTCCTGCAGCACGGGCTCGGCAACTGCAAGCATGCATGCGGGCAGCGGGAAGTTTGATGTTGGCTGTGTCATGGAATGTCACGCGGGTTTGCATCGCTGCACAAGCCTTTTAGGAAAACGCGTATACAGCTGTATGGCTATAACGGCTACACGCACGCCGCCACGGTGATAAAGCCCACCACAAGAGAGGCGTGGTAACAGGCATGCACGTACAGTTGAAGACTGCGTTCACGACCCTGCCCGTGTTCCGCCTCTACTCCGCATGTAAGCAGTACCGGTGCTCACCAGCTGCCTCCTCCTTGCGCCGCCCACGCTTCTTCTTCTGCTCCGGTGCTCGCCCCAGCGCGGGAGGGTTCGCTCCCTGCAACGTGGGCAGGGCATGCCTCTAGCTGAACAACACAACGCCTTCCCAGCTTCCCGGACACCCCATGCGCTGGTCCCATGCTGCTACTGATGTCTGCCCAATCTGCCCCGGAACTCGGGCTAAAGCATGCGCTACCGTTGCTGCCGCTCCTACCACCCACAACTCCGGGCGCCCCTTCCCTTGGCCGCACCTTGGGCACATCCAGCCCCAGCTTCCCGCACGCCGTCTCCTCCTCCTCCAGCCCCAGCTCCTGTCGGTCTGCCTCAATCTCTGCGTCTAGCTGCTGCAGCTCCGAATCTAGCTGGTTGATGTGCTTGTCCATGAAGTCATAGATCTGGTTAGCGATGTTGACCTACGCAGGGCAGGCCGGTACAGGCGGGTAAAACATAAGAGGGCGCACAGGGTGGGTCACAAGGAGGGTAGCCTGACTTCGTAACAGAGGCGGACTGTGCTCTGGATGAGGCGGACTGTGCTGTTTGTGTTGTGTCGGACACTTAGGAGCCTGTACGTGGGCGGAGTATGTGCATGTGCACGATAGCATTACCAGAACAAAGGAGCTGAGCGGCAGGGAAGGGAAGGGGAGATGGTTAAACTAATGGCATTACGCCAAAGGGTTACTGACAAGGCCCAAGACCTCAATAAACAACCCTAGCTCGTCGGCGTGCAAAGGACATGGGTACTTGGAGCCTGCTAATGTGCAGGCTCACCTTCTCGTCCGCCAGACCAAGTAGACGCTTAAGGGCCGACTCCACGTCATAGGCTTGCGGTGAATCCTCACCATCGACCTTCTGTCGTTTGTTCGGCTGCTGCGCCTTCTCAGCAAGCAGTCGCTTGCAGTTCCCGTCAATCTCACGGTGCAAGGCGCCGGACTTTTCATCCAAGTCCCTGATGAGTGCTAGTCTTCGACGCAGCTGCATGGGCACGTCCGTCGCCCGGTCTATAAAATGCTTTAGGTAGTCGGCCATGGCTTATGTACAGTTCAGAATTAGACGTGGTTACATGTGCACCAAACGTGTACTCCTAAGTGATACAAAGTAAGGGCGTATGACTTCACGCCCTTGCGGTTGCCATACGCTTGACTCTTAATCTTGTTGTTCAGCTGTAAGTGAGCTGTAACAAGAGCAGTTAACAGGAATTCCTATTATAGCAGGGAAGTATGGAGCCTGCTGCACGACTGCTGCGTGAGCGTCACAGTTATGTCATCATAAAAGAGCTAGAAGTTATAGTAGGTGATAACGAAGCGTGCTTGGGGTGAAGAGGAGTGCTGATGGGCATAGTGTGCGGTGTGCTATGCATTTGCCGTACGTAGCACAAGCCCCCATCAAAACGCCGCATTCCGGACGCACGCACAGGATCACACTAGCAACATGACCGGTTCACAGAGATGACCTCCAACCATAGTCACCCTTTTGATCGCGAAACGGGGGGGCGGAGGGTAAGATTTTGGCTTCGGAAAGACCTGCTGCTCTTGGTATTGAAACCTTACCACGAGAACTTATCTCCTGGTTCAAAGAAACTATACAAAATATGTCACGATCTGCTACAGCATGCTTACAGCGGCGACTTCTCAACCATTTTGCAAGCATTTGTGTACAGCCACCGTGTAGATGGCGAGGCTGTAGGCGATGTCGCTCGCTCCCGCACTGCGGTGCTAGTAGACCAGATAGGTGGAAGGGTGCACGCATGCGCGTGCATCGTGGCGCTCCCACCTACCCGGCCCTGCTCCACCAACCCCCCAGGACAGCGACTGCTGGTGGGTGGTACTGCGGTTCACTTAGCATGGTGTTGCAACTCCCACCTGCAATCTGGCACCTCCTGCAAACCCTCCCCCACGGCACTGTCGCGTGTCTGGTGAAATGCCGTTTACGCATTTAAGTGACAGGTGGCTCCATGCTTGCTAATTCGCTAGCGCTGCATCTATCGCCAAACCAATACTGCTGCACGCATGCTTACAGGTGACGCACTTTGCCGGGGAGAAGACTGTGTACGAAAACATACTGCTGCTAGGACTCGGGCAAGCCGCCTGCGACATTGCAAAGGAAGAGGTAAACGTGCCTTTGCGGGGCGCCCTACACGCTGGCATATCCTCATCCAACTACGTACTCCTTCTCCATTCCACTCGATGCCCACAACCCCTTCCTCCACATGCCCAGAGCCCTGAAGGAATAGAGACTTGACCGATGCCTCTTCCAAACCCACTCTTGCCCGCTTCCCCCATACACATCCTCCCCCTTCCTGTTGATTGTCTCACCCACCTTACTTCGCACCTCTACCTTCACATCCTTACCCACCTTCACATTCTTACCATACTACTTCCTCGTTCTTCCTCGTTCTTTCCCCCCTTCCCTTCCCTTCTTCTACTCCACTACTCGCCGCACAGTACCTCCTCGCCCTAGCCCGGGACGGTCCTCGAGGCATGGACCAGCAGCAGCTCCGCCACCTGGGCTTCACGGGTGTGGACAAGGTGGATCCGGGGACGCAGAAGGCCGGCCTGCAGCTGGCTGTGGAGGCGGCGAGGCAGTACGGCGGAAAGTGCCCGACGCTGGTTCTTAGGACCTCGGTGAGTGTGTCCGAGTGATGCTGCGATGCTCTTGATTCGCGTGTGGGTTTGACGTTTGTCGTTTGATGGATTGGGTTGACGCTTGACGGGGGTCACAGGCAGGGTTGATTCACCGACCTCTGCGACCTGTCATGCATGCGTCTTGGCACGTGTGTGCACGGGAGTGTGTGCACGTGCAGTTGCCTCTTAATGCGGTACCCAGTAGCCATACTTCGTCAAACTGCACTGGTCAAACCGTCAGTGTACGGCACCTTCTTTCCCCTCCTCCCAACAGGACAGCTCCAACCTCATGCGGCGACACCTGACGGGGCTGCCGCAGGTGGGGGAACCGGCTGCTGCTGCTGCCCCTGCTGCTGCAGGCCGCGCCGCTGCTGCTGTTGCAGGCCCCGCCGCCGCTGCTGCTGCAGGCCCCGCCGCCGCTGCTGCTGCAGGCCCCGCCGCTGCTGCTGCCGGAGCAGCCGGCCCCTCCGCCGCCGCAGCAGCAGTTGGCGGCGGCGGCGGCGAAGGAGGAGGAGGATGGCGCGCGGCAGCAGGGGTGCCGACGGATGCCGCTGCGGCTGTTGGCGGCTCCTCAGCGGCCGAGGAGGGGTTGATTGACCGAGCCGGCGGCAGCGATGGGGACACAAGGGATGGTGATGGCGCCGACGATGGCGGCGTCGGTGGTGGTGACGGCAGCTGGGATGAGGAAGGAGGTGGTGGAGGAGGAGACGCCGCCAGTGGCGGCGGCAAACGGCCTAACGTTCCCTGCGACGGCGGCGGCGATGGCAGCACTGGCTTGCGTGGTAGCAGCAAGGAGGGGAGTGGCGGTCCCAGCGGCGGCAATGGTGATCGTGAAGCCGCTGTCCGAGCCCCCACCAGGGATGCTAGCGGGGCCCTGGGAGGCAGCGGTGCGGGCGGCTGGCAGGCCCTCGGCGGCGACGGCGCCGGCATGCCGCCTCCTCTCGCAACAGCGGCTGCCCCTGATGCCGCTGCGCCTGCTGCTGAAGCGGTTGCAGCCGCTACTACCAGTGGTGGCGGTGGCGGCGGTGAGTGCCCCAGCCTGCGACAACGACCTGCTGTCTTTGCCGCTGCTGCTGCTGTGGATACGCACGCAGCCGCCGCTGCCGCTATTGGTGGTGGTGGCAGTGGAGGCGGTGGGGCCCTCCGCCCGCAATCGCGACCTGCTGCGCCTGATGCAGACCGCAGCGCAGACGAGCTGCTGCTGCGTCAGTTTCGCCCTGACCAGCCACCTCTGCCACAGCCGCAGCGGCAGCACCAGCCCAAGCAGCAGCAGCAGCAGGCGCTTCACAGCCTGGGAGGCGCTACTGCTGCCGCCGCTGCGACCACCGCTGTCGCGGCAACGGCTGCTGCAGCGGCTAGCACTGCTACTGCCACAACGGCTGCTGCTGCCCCGCCCGCTCATGCAGCTGCAACGGCTATTCGTGTCGCTGCCGCTCCGCCCGCTGTCTTGGAAAACCGCGACCATGCACGATTCTGTGTAGCGGCAGCAGCGGGGGTAGCAGCAGCGGGGGCGGCAACGGGGGCAGCAGCAGCGGGGGCGGCAGCGGCGGGGGCGGCACCAGCGGGGACGGCAGCGGGGGCGAAGCTCAACTCAGGCACCCTCATCAGCCATCTCGCTGCTGTCGCCGGGGCTTCCGTCGGGGAAGCGGCCAGTGAGACACCCCCACCACCCGCCACTGCTGCTGCAGCCGCTGCTGCTGTTGCTGCGCCTGCGCCCACCGTTGGACCTCCCCCCCGGCAAGCTGCTCCACGGGTTGCCAACCCCACTAGCGCGATGGCAGGGCCGCCACCGCCGCCGCCATTTGCCGCGCACACCGCTGCCACCGCAACCACGATGCCACCAGCTCCACCTCCACCACCCGAACAGCCACCCGTGGCAGCTACAACAGCTGCTCCGCCATCAGCACCATCATCAGCACAACCGCCAGCAGCAGCAGCTGCTGCAGCTCTAGACGGGCAGCTGCCGCCGCCGCAACAGCCACAGCCGCAGCAGCCGCTTCAACAGCAGTTTCAACAGCAGTTTCAACAGCAGCCGCAACAGCCACCGCCTCAGCAGCAAAGCCGCTCATGGCAGCGCTGGCATCGGCCGCAACCGCCCGTGCTGGTGGGCTGTCTGGCCCTGCAGCATGTGTACGAGAGGATGCTGTTTGGGAGGGGCATCCCAGGCGTGCGGAGGTTGCCGCTGCCGGGTGCAACAGCGGCGGCGGTGGAGGGAGGAATGCCAGGTGCGTGCGCTCTGGGCTGCATGCGTGCGCTCGAAGCACATGGGTGGATGCAGCGGGGTTGCGGGATCAATAGACACCGGCTTCTTTTACTAGGCTAAGAGGCCGTGTGTGTTGTCGATTGCAGGTGCTGCAACCGGCAGCAGCTGCGGCGGCGGCGGAGGCAACGGAGGAGGTCGTGGCGTCTCTGCGAAATGTCGGCTGGCAAGGGCGCTTGCGGATGTGTGGAGCGAGCAGTTGGTGCGCCTTGATGCATTGAACGAACAGGAGGCAGAACTGGTGGGTCGTTAGCTCTTAGGCAAGTAACACATCGTGCCGCTGATAATACAGGCATTGAGGCATCAAAGTAACAATGAGGGGCTGGGTGCGCATGTATGCATGCATCTTTAAGGTTTTCCCTTCGCGCATGCATACCGGGAGCTTGCGGTGAAGCTCGGTTAAGAGCGCTAGCAAGCCGCACCTGTTAGTTTGCAGTAGGATTGCTCAGCTGCAACCTGCAGCACTTCAATAAGGTCAACAAGGTACCTCCAGGCTGATTCCCGACCGCCCTTTCGTTGCATCCCTTAACCCCACTCACGCTCCCCAAACACAGGCCTTGCAGGAGCTGCAGCCTCGCACGGGGGCAGGAGCTGCCGACTGCGCAGCAGGTGTTGCGGCACCTGGTGCTGCTGGCCAGCTGCCGCCGTCGCCGCTGCTGCGATCCCAGCCGCCGCAACCGCCGCAACCGCCGCGGACGCAACCACCACCGCAACCACCACCGCCGCCGCCGCATCCAGCCGACCCATCCAGTTGCACACATACCCCAACCAGAGAGGCACGCCTGGGACCTGTAGGGGAGGCCTCGCAGCCGATTGCCCCCTCCGTCTCCCCTTCCGCCCCTCTCTGTGCCTCACCTTCACCTCCACCCCCACCTGCTGCTGCTGCTCCCGCTGCCAGCTCCCATCAACGCTCGCCCTTCACCAGGCGACGGCCAGTCGCCGGCCCCTTGGGGCGAGGAACCCCCCCGCTTGGAGCCACACCAGCACCAGCACCTCGCTCTCCGCCGCCTTCACCCCTGCCACCGCCGCCTCCGCAGCTGTCGCCGCCGTCGCAGTCTCACCTGCTGCTATCACCGCCAGAGCGGCCCGGAGGACCCCAGCAGCAGGGTACGACACCCACTCGCCGAGCTGCATGCGTCCTGGACCAGCGTCAGCAACAACCGCCGTTCCAGAGGCTCCCCACGGGCCAATCGCCAGCAGCCGTGGGGACTACAGCCGCTGCCGGTGCTGCTGCCGCTGCTGCTGCTGCTGCCGCTGCTGCTGCCCTGGGTTTGTGCCTCAGCAGCCGCAAACGCGTATCACGGGAGGAGTCTCCTGTGAGGGACGCCGCCGTTGCAGCTGCAACCCCCGCCTCCGCTGGTGTCAGCAGCGATGCAGGCACTGCTGCCGGTGCTGCTGCTGCTGCCGGTGCTGCTGCTGCTGCCGGTGCTGCTGCTGCTGCTCGCTCCGCAGCAGCACCATTCCACGGTTGCAGTGGTGGTGGGACTGGCGGCAACGCTCTTGCTGCTACCGCTGCTCCTCCTCCTGCTGCTGCTGCAGGTACTGCCCCAGGCCAGGGGCCCCCCAAGGGGCGGGCGCGCTTCCACGGCGGGCTGCACGACTGCCCTCCGCCCGCGTGTGCGGCCCTGCTGCATGTGCTGGCACTGACAGCACCCCAGCGGGAAGTAGGAGCTGTAGGTGCAGCGGCTGCTGCTGGTGCTGCAGCAGCTGAGGTCGCAGGCAGGGATGCGGCACCGCTGGCGGAGGCGGCAGTGGCGGAGGCGGCGGTGGCAGAGGCAGCAGTGGGGGAGACGGCAGTTGGGGAGGCGGTGGCAGAAAGGGGTCTGCAGCTGCCGGCGGCGCAGGCGCTGGCGCCGGGCAGGGCTGAGCTGCCTGTGACAAGGGTTTCAAAGCTGCGGTGGGTGCTGGGGAGCTGAAACAGATGCCTCAGAGGTCAGGATTCGGAAGTGCGCGGGTTTACAGCAATGCGGGCCTACAGGAAGTGTTAGGGGCTAGGCATGGGGTCGGAAAAGGGGCTGGGTGTTCCTGTGGGACGGCGGGTAGGGGTGCATGGAGGCCCCTGTTAAACGGACAACAGGGCGTTTCTCGTGCTCATGCATGCAGCCGCATGGCATGCAGCCACGGGTGCATGTGCCCGGCGCACGCCGAACTCGCACCCATAGACCAGCCCTCCCATGCCACCCGCCATGCAACTGAACAGCTTGCCCACCTCATCCCTCCTTGACGTCCTGCACCCTTTCCCTCTTCCCCCACCTTGCCCTACCCCTTGCCTTTACAGCCTGCAACCCCCGCCCTCGGCATCACCCTCCACCAGCCACGACTCTGCCGACTTTGCAACTCCCAACAGCTATCACAGCCCCGCCTCTCCCAGACCCATGGGTCAGTTCCCGGCCAGCAACTCCGCCAAAGGCCAGGAGCGCGGGTCCTTGGGTCCACAGTTCGACGGCAAACCGCCTGGCTCCGAAAGCGCCGCCGGAGGCGGCATTAGCGGCTTGGAAGCTTCCTCGGAGGCTCCGGAGCTGTCAGTCGAAGACCTTCGTCAAGCCCTAAACGCCTTCCGACAGGAGCCTGGTAAGATCAGCGGCCTAGCCGACCTTGGGGAGCCGTTGGAGCCATTGGGAGCCCCGTTTGCAGCGGTTGGATCACTTGGATTCAAAAACGAGGAGGCGGCCCTCGCCCTGGGAGTCCGGCAAGGCCGAGGTGGGGCAGCTGGCGGCCGCAGCGGTGCCAGCGGTGGCGAAGGCGGAGCTGACGGGGGAGGCGCTACTGGGGTGCTGATGGAGGCGACTGGTCGCTTTCTGGCGGATTCTCCTGGCTGCTGTTGCGTGTCGCCGAGGGTTGCGTCCGCGTCCGTTGCTGCGGGGGCTGTGGAGGCGGATCGAGACACGGGCGGGGCTGCGGAGGGGTGCTTTCCCCCGGGTGCAGAGGGCCTGTCCCCCAGGAGCGGCTACATGTATCACAAGGCGGACGTGCTTTCCCCACGCTTGATGGTGAGCCGCCAGCAATGGACGGGGGATGGTGCATACGGTGGCGGTGGTGGTGGCGGCTGCTGTCCTGTCGGGGTCGAAGGCGGCGGCGGCGGTGCTGGCGGCGGTGAATGCGGCAACGCTGCTGTGGGGGCCAGCCCCCAATCTCTGCAGCCACAAGCAGGGCTTGAAATACAGCATCGCCGCAAGCGTGGCCGGCCTCGCAAAGTACGGCCCCACGAGGCCACCGGGGCTGTTGCCGCTGCAGGCAGCAGCCCACAGCAGGCGGCTCATGCGCTGTTGCCGGCAGCTACCGGTACTACTGCCGCAGCTGCTGCCGGCGGAGGCGGCAGCGTAGTCCCTACTCCCCGCAAGCGCGGCAGGCCTCCTAAGAAGCAGCGAACCGAGCTAACCGGCGCTGCTGCCGCCGCTGGCAGCCTTCAGCTGGAAGCGGCTTCCGCGGACCCCGCACCCCATGCTGCAACGGCCCCCGCTGCCCATGCTGCAACGGCCCCCGCAGCCCCCGCAGCCCATGCAACGGCCCCCACTGCCCTTACAGCAGCCCCCGCACCCCATGCTGCAACGGCCCCCACTGCCCATGTTGCAGCAGCAGCAGCAACCGATGGGGGCGCGGAGGCACCTCCTTCTCTCCCCCGCAAGCGTGGCCGGCCGCCCAAGACACGCCCCTCCCACGCACCCCACCCCGGCCTTGCTGCCGTCGGTTCCGCCATGGTTACCGCCACGGCCCATAGCGCCGGCGGCGAGCCGCATTCCGCCGGAAGTCGTCAGCAGGCGCCAGCAGCCGCAGCAGCTATGGCTGCAACCGCAGCTCCAACCGTCGCAGCAGCCGTTCCAGCAGCAACCGCAACAGCCGCAACTTCAACCGTCACAGCACTAACTGCAGCAGCACCAACTGCATCCGCTACTACTGCTTCTGCCGCTGCAGGTGCCGGTGGTTCCGACGGTGATGACATCGCCGCCGCCGCCGCTGCTTTCATGACTCCACCTCAGGAGGAGGCCGCTTTGCTGCAGGCGAAACCCATGATATTGGGCCTGGATAACGGCTTCTGGTACCTGGGAAAGGTGCTCCGCGTGGAGCGGCGGGGAGCGGCCCCCGCGCTTGTGGACTTGGAGTTTGTGGGGTTCAATGAGAAAGTGCGGCGGGAGGTAACGGACAGCGCTATCTACTGGGGACCGAACGTGCCGCCAGCGGCTTTCGGCATCAAGTGGCAGGGTAAGGCGGCCGGTATAAAGAGCCATGGGGTCGACAAGGGCGGTTTACCATGGCAGAGGTGTTTATTGAACGTATGAAAAGGTTGTTTTTTTAGGGGTTTTGACATGAGCGTGCAGCCTTAGCGCTGCACACAGCCGCTTGCCGCTACACCGTCGCCGCAGGCAACTGTACCTGAAAAGACTGCAACGCAAACCCGCAACGGTATCCGCCTCTTGCAGGCTGGTCCGATGGTGCCTGGCTGCCCAAGCCCTTCCTCCAATCCGACACCCGGTTGGGTCGCGAGCAGGTGGAGGCAGCCCTGCGCTACACCGCGGCACACCCGAAGACCAGGCCCAAGCCCGGCGGCAAGCGAGGCCGCGGCGGGGGCTGCCGAGGTCGCGGCGGCGGCGGCAGTTCCCGCGGCGGCGGCGGTAGTGGTGGGTTCCGTGGCCAGGAGGGCATGGGGACCTCTGTTGAGAGATCCTCGGAGGAGCCTGTGGTGCAGTAGCCCGCATGGGAGGGGCGGCGGTGGCGGCTGATGGGGCGCAACCGGGTAGCGGCAGCGGCGGAGATGGCGTTAGTAGGGTTGTTGCCGGCGTTGTCGTAGCACCTGAAGGGGACCACTTGGGCCCTACGTCGCCTGACGGGTGGCGTCCGGGGACCACACTGGCGGATATCGCGATGTCTGGTGGTGCGTAACGCCAGCCGGAAGAGCGCACGTAAGCATAGGAAACCGTAACTTTGCTTTTGCGTTTGCTTTTTTGTTCCGGCTGGTGTTACGTACGGGTTACAAACTTACAATGCACGATAAGAGACATTGGCCTGCTAGGGTTTTAGAGAGTCAGCGGTTGTCCAGTCAGTTACATAACGGTTTTACCTGCATACATCCACAGCTAGCAAGGCTGCAGATTGGGCCATGCTGACTGATAGAAACAGTTGCGGCGTGGTTATTACATTTAGGGTTGATCATGATACATGAATTGGTTGCTTGACGTGGAGGGGCATTTTGAGGTCGAGTTAAGGGCCGCATTAGCCACCTCCACAGCTTTCGCGTGGAATGCATGTATATGTTTGGCATGTGCAGGCCCAACCTCAGGGCTCGCTATTAGCAAAGCATATCGTCGTGTGTTTTTGGAAAACTCATTTCTGAGCTGTAGGCTATGCATTCGCGCCATTGTCGCGGTGGCTGGAGACAGGAGCATATTGATAGCTAGGAGTGACGGCTTGCATGTGTGTTCGTGTCGTGTCTGTTGTCTTCCGCGTTTTCGTTGGGTTGAGGGCTTTGCATGGTTCGCTTTTGGATCCCACTTGATGTGCCACTCGGGCGTAACCACTGCCAGTCTTTTGGCTCTGTCTATTAGCTGCTCGCATGTAGGCGCATGTTCGCGTTCAGCAAAGTTTTGTTGTTCGCTGGCAGTTGTTTGCCATGTTTCAGTTAAGGTACGAGGCATTTGTCCGGGTGCGAGGATGGTAGCATACAAGATGCTGGGACTACTCTCCAGGTACTCTCCGGACTCTGTACCGTTTTAGGCGCTGTTTTCATGCATCAAGATGAGATGGTTTACGGTATTTCTTTATGTTTAGGAACCGATTTTGTTCATTCCCATACCTTTGCGGCTTACATGCAGCAGCCGTACGTTACGGTATCATAACGTGTAGCAGTAAGGGTACGGTATGGCCGGAGGCAACAGACGGGGTACAGCTCGCACGCAGACGTGTCTGTTGATGAATGGTGTTGTTGGGAGGCTGTTGATGGAACTCCATACCCGCAGACGATCGCAATCCACCCGGGCATTGCCATTCGCTGCGCAACCCCTGTTGCTGTGCTCCTGAAACAACGGTTCCGCTGGCAGCATGTATCGGAGTTCTGTCCAGGACCTCGAGGATGGTGCCTAGGGCTGTTCACGGCTGGGGTCCAGCCAAGCCGCCTGCCGTACACACTTACTGGCCAGCCGTGAGGGGTGATATGGGCAGCCTCGTCACGGGCGCCTCATGTTGACCTTCAAAATTAGTAATACATTACAGTCAGTGAACTAGTCACCAATGAGGCGCTCTCTGCGCAACTCCATCTTATATACCGTAGCAAAGTCAAGATAGGTTTTTAGTACTTGGTACAGGCGACAGCGGGTAACCCAGCAATTGAACACACATTATGTACGTCTAGCTATTGGCATTACTCAAGAATTGTTTGTCTCAAGGCGTCACACGAAGTCGATAATCTAGGGGGACGCCAGGTGATACGAAACTCTCTCCTTCCAGGCCCTTCAATATTGGCCTAGGTGCGCCCGCATTTGTGCGCTAGGCATCCACCACTCTTTTCTTGCGCCGTAGGAAGCGTTAAACCTAGCAAGTCTAGTCCTCTTCCGCAGCCTGCTCAGCACAAAGGCAACTAAGCTGCGCCACAGCAAACAGCGACCCACGGGTCTTCCTTTGTATCCTGCATGCAGACTCTACTGTCCAGTTCGCAGACAGGCACATACCGATACTGCTTTCCAGAAGACTTCATTCTGGTCAACACGTTTTGCAGTCCTGTCATACCACGCCTGCCTTTCCTGTCCACCGGCTCTCCCTCCCATTACCCTCGAACGTTTCACAACCGTGTGCCCCAGACACAGACCGACCCAACCGCACACACACTCCGTGTCAACACGGAATACACAGGACCCTTCTCAAGCTGCATTCACCTTCCTCCCTGGCAGCTTCCCCTTCACCCGATGCAGCACGCCACATGCAATTACCAAGGCACACGCAGCACACACAGCACACACATCCCCACCCCATCCTCAAAGCGCAATCCCATCTCTCTCCAACCCTCCATCCATCCCGCTCTCCTCGCCCAACCCGACCCACATCAGTGCACATTGGCAACCGAGCGGCTACGGTTGCCACCGCCCAGCCCCGTCCAGCTCCCGATGAACCCCCGTCCGGACGCCGAGCTCTGCAGCGTGCCCGACCCCCGCGTGTACATCAGCCCCATATCACCGCTCGCCGCCCCAAGCAGCCCTCCAGCCCGACTGGAGTTGCTGCGAGACGTCCCAACCACCGGTGTCTGCGCCGGCGAGCCCACCTCGCCGCAAGCGCCATCACCGCTCTCCAGCAGCTCGGTAATGGTGGCGGTGCCGCTGACAACGGGCTGGTCGCCGCTGCTGCTAAAGTCCGCGAGCAGCGTCCGGAGCCCCGGGTTGCTGTCAGTCAGCTCGGGCGGCGTGGACTGCACGTAGGACTTGAGCCGGCCGGTGTCCATACCGACCCGCCGGGTCACTTCCGCCATGGTGGCGCACAGCAGGTAGATGCCCTCGTTGGCGCGCTGCACGCCGGAGTTCATGAGGTTGATGGTTTGGTCCATTTGACCCACGCGTGCCTCGATGGTGTTGGAGATGTCGCGGATTTCGTCCACGCTGGAGGACACGTTGTGCAGCTGCTCGCCCATCTCGTTCTGCTGCGCCATGAGCTGTTGCTGCTGCTCGCCAAAGACGGCGAAACGCGACAGGAACTCGTCCTTGTGCTTGCGAAGCTCCTCCCAGAGCTGGGTCATGCTGGCGGAGACCTGGTCTCGGAAGCCTTGCAGCGAGCGGTTGGTTACCATGAAGAAGTCGGAAACGGAGAGGCCGCGGATGCGGACGTAGAGGTACGCAACGCCGCCGACGATGACGGCGGGGACCACGTACACGGTCCAACTGCCGCCGCGGCCTGGGGACGGTGGCGGGTCGAGGGTGGAGGAGGTAGGAGAGGAGGAGGGAGCGCGGGGTGCGGGGAAAGGAGAAAGGGAGTCAGGGTAACGTCACGTGGTTACCTGGCGCAACTTAAAGCAACACGTGACCACTGCTCCTAGTCGAGCCTAAATGGCCACAGTTGCGTGGACTTATGGGGCAGCAAATGAATAAACGCCGCGACCCGCGCTTAAGCTGGGCTTCGTGCTTAACGGATAAAGGGACCATACATTCAGCAGTCGAGGCGCAACTTATGCCCATAGACAACGCCTCGATTGCTGGACTTACAGTTGACTTTCGTGCAACATCCCCCAAATGTCCTCCGAGCCGAAGCTTACCGGTATGGATGACCGTGTAGCCCGGGCCTTTCTGCTGGCCTCGCACCACATCCGATAGAAGCTGGTGTAAGCGGTCAACCTCGCCTTGCAGCACGGTCATCTGTGCATGTGTGAGTCGGAAGCTGTAAACCCCGCCCCACGGGCCCAACCTGCAATTCCTCGAGGAATCGAAATCTACAAGGGCTTGATATTACCTCACTGCTTCCTGGCACACGGGCGCTTGACGCAGCGCCAGCCCCGGCATCGCCCAGGTTCTTTAGCGCGGACGCTAAGAAGGTGGTCGGGGAGTCTATTCCCATCTTTGGAGCCTGCGTGGCTGCATATCCCGTGAGGAACATGCCTCCGAGCGCTGTTGGCCAGCTGGGCATTTTCACCGGCCCGGAGCAGATGAAAAGTAGCAAACGGCCCTGACAGCGTTATAGCTAACACTACAGCAGGCGGTGTACAACAGAATCAAAAAGCGCTAATATCTGCTCTTCTATTTTTAGCTTCAGAAGGAGCGTTGGTAGGAGAGACTCCGGTGGCACTAAATTGTATAGTAATGTCCAAGTGGTCTACCAGGAAGGGAACTGTTTGCCCTGCTACCGGTTTGAGTAACATCCTTGGCTTCAGCGATGGAGTGGCTACGCGGCGTACGGAAAGTACTTTCATAATTGGTGACTCTACCCGCACAACCTGTCGCAGCAACAAACTAGCCTTCTTCGCTATCATGTTTCGAATCCAGGCGCTAGGATGCCGATCACGAAAGCCTTGCGCGCTTCTGGCGATGCAACCACGGCTGTCTTTAAGTTCCCTGTAATCGCCGTGTACTTGATCCAAATAACTATAACGTTGTGCATCCTTGCTTTCATTGTAAAGCTGGTGCTATATACCTCAAGGCTAGCTCTTCGCAGGATTAGCTTCAGTTATGTCCCATTCAGCCGTGACTGTAAGGAGGTGCTGGTTGTGGACTGCACCCACCCTCAAGCGTGCACGTTGACACACCATAAGGGGCAGCGCAATCCCGCGCGCCTAAAACAATCAGATACAAGCACGGGTCTGGTTCTCAACGCCATTAAAGCCACCGCATGGAATGCGGGGCAAGCGTACGAATGGTGCCAGCTGCCGCACGTCAGCACGAATCACTTCGACGTCGATAGGTGCGTGGGCCAATTGACCAATCGTATAAAGTGCGAGCAACACCCTCCATGTTGCATTCCTTCCCCAATTCTTCCATCCATACCCTCCCTCGCCCAGCTTCCTGTCGGTCTGGTGCTACATCAATCGGCCTCTGGCGCTGCAACACGAAGCAGGTGAGCCTGTAGACTTCAAAGTAGCCCACAAGCAACACAGGAGGCGATGTTTCAAGCTAGACACCGCCTCGGCCTTGCTTCCAGCCCCCCGCTTCAACACTGTACGGCTCCGCGGTCGCTGCCTGCTTCGTACTTATCGGCCTCGCCCCGCCGCTCTTTTGCTTGACCTCCGTCCCTCCTTTCCGCCTGCCGCTACCCATTCCTTGCTACCTTGTCATGTGCTCATCGCAAAGTCCTTTAAATGCCCTCCTCCTCCTCCTCCTCCAGTGTTGCGCCACATGGCCCGCATCGGGGACTTCCGAGAGGCCTTCCTGTCTCCCGAGCTGGTGGCGGCGCACGGGGCCGAGGACGGCATCGCGAACATACGGTGAGGGACTAGGTAAACTGAGCGGTGAGAGAGGGGTTGGAACCTGCCGGCAGGGAAGGGAACCCTAGGCGATAGCGGCAGGAAGATACCGATAAAGGGAGCCGTAAGCCCATCTTGCCAACCCCTTGTGCCCTCCTCTCCACATTGTCGCACGACTGCGTTCCTCTCCTCTTTTCACCAGCCGCTACCTCCCTCCCTCACCCTCGCTCCCCGCTCCCCGCCCCCCCCCCCCATTCGGGCTGGGCGGGTCGGGCTGGCTCACATGTTGCAACCCATGTTGACGCCTTATCCCTCAGTCAGCTAGTTGTTTCCTCTTTACCCCCCCAGCGACGCCTTCACCGCCCTCAAGCTGGTCTGCTGGCTGAACAGCCAGGAGCGCTCCCGCTTCTCAGCGCCCTACGAGGCCCCCGACTGCGACGACAAGATGTCGTACTTCCTGCCGCGATTCGCAGCCGTGCTGGGTAACCCGGAGGCGGTGTGGCAGGAGTGGCAGGACGAGTACCGCGAGGTGGGGGGGGGATTATATAAGTGAAACAACGAGTCCCAATCCCTTATGGGGGGGCGGGAGGGCAGGGGAGGAGGCGGTAGAAGAATACGCAATGCGTTGGATGAGGATGATGCAAACATGACGACAAGCTGCTGGGCGGGGGACAGGGGTCATGTCCTGGTAGGTGACAGTGAACAGTGGTAACCCGTGGGGAACATGCACGGGGCTTCCTGCCCTGTGCTTCGCCGCCCAGTCCGCTGCTTTGCTCCTTGCGTGGCCCCCTCCCCGGTACCCGTCCTGCCACTACACCCGGTTCCTCCGCTGCCCCTTCCTCCTCCTCCTCATCCCTCCTCATCCTCATCTGCCCTGCCCTCCTCCTCCTCGTCCCTCCTCCTCCTCCGCTGCTGCTGCTGCTGCAGGTGGTGAGCGGCTTCGACTCGCTGAGCGGCGACCCAACCCGCGTGGAGGTGCACCGACCCGTGGGTCTGGTGGTGCTGCGGGCGCCCGAGCCCTCCCTGCACTACTACAGCCTCTTCAGCCACACCGTGGGGTACGACACGGTGCTCACAATGTACGACGGTCAGCGGTACGGTAAGATTTGGTAGGGTTAGGTTTGTTCTAGCTTGTTGGGGCATGATTTGCAGTCCAACGGGTACTGGTTTCAAAACTTGTCGTTAGTATTGCATTACATTACAAGTATGTATCTTTGAAGTGATGAAGCCAGGCCGCACCCATGTCCCGCTTCTTCCCTCCCCTCCCCTCCCCTCCCCCCCCCTTCCCAGAGCTGGAGTCCAAGTACACGCAGTTCGTCAGCTGCCACAGCCGCCCCGTGTGGCCGCGGGTCGACATGGCGCCGCTGGCCCGGGTGCTCAACAGGATGGAGGGAGCGGGTGAGGCAGGGGGGGAGCAATTGAAGGGGGCAAGGGAAAGGAAGAAGATGAAGTAAAGCGAATCTCGATAGGTAGTTTGGGTGATGGGGGCTTGGCCTGTGCGGCGGGGGACGGCAGGCGGACGGCCGCTGGATGCCGCGTGCATGCGTGGGAGGCATGGCAGGGAGCGAGGCATGAAATCCATAGCAACATCAGCAGTTTGCTGCAACCTCGTAACACAATTACCGCCCTTGTCTCCCGTATTCAATTCCCTCCCTCCATCCCTCCGCCCCCTCCCCTCCCTCGACAGCCCTAGCTCCCAACCTGCGCTGGTCCGCTCCCCGCTTCAACGACACCGGCCCCGTGCTGCGGCTCGAGGACGCCTCCCGCCCCCTCTCCAAGGCGCAGCGCTACGGGCACCCGTACGGCAGACCGTTGTACGGCAGCTCTGTACCGCCCGCCACCATGACGGCGCTGGTGGTTAGCTTCCTGGAGTACGGCATGCAGGTGGGGGTTAAGGTGGAGGGGTTGAGAAAACTGGCCGCGAGTCGGAACGTTCTGTACCGGCATACAGGTATGTGTGTGGGGGTGTGTCAAGGCGGGGGTTGCGGCTACCCGTACTGTAAGCACTCCTGCACTCGACACCACGGTACCGGGTAGCGGTACCTGGCCTGGAAACCCGCACCCAGCATCCAGGAGTGCTCTCCCCCACCGCCTGCGTCTGTCCTTGGCCCCCACCTCCTCAGGGTCTCAAGCCCAAGCGGGGCGGCTGGAGCTGGGACGAGCTGCAGTCGCTCAACAGCGGGACGGCCTGGCAGGTGGGTGAGGGGAGGGGAGGTAGCAGCAGGAGAGCGGAGGGGAGGGGAGAGGGCTTGGGGGGCCCGGGAGGACGCCTGGGGCCCCGGGAGGAGAGGCGGTTTGCCGGGGTCCTATGCAGAGGGTGGGGTTGAGTGGACCCCAGCATGCGGCCATGCGGGTTGGCAGATCGCGGATTGGGTTGAGCTCCCGCGTGCCGCCACATCTGTCATTCGTTTTCCCCTCAGCGACCAAACCGTGTCGCGTTGCTCTTGGCAACTCCCCCCTTTCCTGCCTTCTTTGACCCCTGACCCTGCAGGTTTGGGAGGACACAGTCCTATCCCAGTGGCAGCGCGGCGAGCTCACACCACCCGACACCACCACCGCCCCCTCACCCTCCGCCGCCTCCGCGCCTGCCCTCTCCGGCACCCCGCCTGACGCCGCCGCCGCCGCCGCCACCCCACACCCCTCCGCACACCCCTCCGCCAGCCGCCAGGGCTCCTTCACCGGCGGCAATCCCCGTGTGGGCCTCGCCATGACGCTGGGTGGGGGATTCTGGGAGCCCTCCCTGTCCGAGCCCTCAGCCATCATGAGCCAGGATGACGTTAGGGCCCTGGCGGGTGCCGTACCGGCACGACTGGCGCCCGGCCGTTGGCAGTTACTGTACGGCAGCGCACGTGACGGCACCAGCCTGCGGACGTTGTATCGCAAGGCGACTGGCAGGGCGCCGACGCTGTTGGTGGTACGGGAGGCGGGTGGCGGAGGTGGAGGTGGAGGTGGAGGCAGCGGAGGAGGTGGAGGTCACGTGATGGGCGCGTTTGCGACGGAGGTTTGGAAGCCCGGGCCGCGGTTCTACGGAACTGGGGAGACGTTCGTGTTCACGTTGCATCCGCAGAGGGTGCGGTACGTGTGGCAGCGGCCGCGGCAGCAGCCGCTGCCCGGCCGCGCCAGCGGCGGCGGCGCAGCCGCCACTGCCACCGCCTCCCAATCCCCTGCTTCTCCCTCACAGCAGCAGCAACAACAACAGGGGCATGGAGGAGGAGGCGTGGCGGCGGCTGCCGCAGTAGCGGCAGCGGTAACCACCGCCGCAGCTGCCGCCTCGGGTGTGGATTTCTTTCAGTTCTCGACGCATGAGGGCCTGGGTGTGGGCGGGCAGGGCGGGTTCGCGCTGTGGTTGGACAACGAGTTGTTGGAGGGCGCTAGCTACCCGTGTGACACGTTTGGGAGTCCGCAGCTGTCGGGGCGGGAGGAGTTCCGGGTGGCGGCGGTGGAGCTGTGGCAGCTGTGAGCGGGAGGTGGAGGTAGGGAGCGCGTTGGTCTGTTGGCTGGTTGGTTGGCTTGGTTCTTAGCAATCGTTGCCATCAATTATTGCAGCTGTGGTACAAGCAGGATTGAATGGACTTGCTCATGTGTGTCATGTATCGGCATCTCATCCCTAACCGCTATATGTAGGCCGTGGAAGCGGGAAGCCGGGAATATGTAGGCCGTGGAAGCCGGGGCTTGGGTAGGACTTGGGTAAGGAGAGTGTTTTTTGCGCCTTACACAGTGCCCTCCGGTGCAAGGCAATCTCTTGGACTACTACGGCCGCAGCATTGCCGGGCTAGGGCCCTCCACAACAGGGCGGCCGAGTGGCGCAACGCAAGCCTCAGCTGTGCTGTTTCGAGCCTCACCACGAGCCTCACCACTACAAGGTTAGTGTAGTGTAGTATACCGGTACTGCCGGCTTAACAAACAACTTGGCAACAGCTTTGCAGTTATCAATTGTTATCAATTGCCAACAGTAAGCAAACGGAGTAAATGTTGCCTAGGGCGGTGCCTGGGGCTCCAGGCTCCAGCCACCACTTCCATGCAGCCTTCGCTACTGCCATTGCAGCAGCAGGGTACGACACGCATGAGCGGGATTCTGCGCCATCATGCCTAGCACGGCTTGCAATGCAGTGCAGCATCGTCTCTCCATCACTCCAGAACGACCACCTCAGCCCTCCCAAGGTGCACTTCCGACCAGATCTCGCTCATTTGCATGCCGCACACACGCCCATGCATGGCTACTGCAGCAACCGTATCTTGCTATGCTATTTCCTATACCGTATAGTATATAACACCATGCAGCTATTTGACATGCCACCTAAAGTCAGAAGTAGCAGTCCGTGGTATTACGTGCAGTCAACAGAAAGAAAAACACGCATTGTGCACATAAGGAACGATACACTATTTGACCAATGCAGTACTTGCATTGGCACCAACGCCTGCGATGAAGATGTGCAGCATGGAATGCGGAAAGCCAACCTGCATGCGGCCGAAAACAACATCCTGGTGCTGCTTAAGCATCTTTCCCACGTGCCCTGATCACTACAGCTCCCGCTGCTGTCGTATTCCTTCATGACTAACCATGCAACCCAGCATCACACAAACATAAGCAGCTTCTATAAACCAAGAACAAACGTCACATCGCGCTTGGGATCACTTACAACAGCACTTCCACAGCCGCTCCTAGCTTCGCATGCAGTTTCCCCTGCCCCTATCGTCCCAACGTGAGTGCAACCACGCACCACCACAACCAACAACTTGAGCACAACAGCACGCCCCGAAACCACCTCACTTCTGCTTCATCCCCTCCTCCTGCCGCATCCGCATCTGCTGCATGCTCTTGCACCCCCACTGATGCGCGACATTCCAATCCTCCAGTTGACACCCGCCGCTACAGTACGACACCGACCGGCACCGCGCGCAGACCTTGCGACTCGGCAACTCCGTCTCCGTCATGCCCTCCAGGTTCATGCAAAAGCTGAAGCTGCAGCGCTTCGACCCCGCCGCCTGCACCTCCTCCGCGACGTGCGAAGGCGAGGGCAGCCAGAGCCCCCACTGCTTATGCTTCTGCAGCACCGTCACGAGCAGGCTCTGAATCGGCTCCGGACGCCAGGCTTCGCCATTCAGGCCCTTCTCAAGGTAAGCCTCCATCAGGGCCTCTCCGCTGCCTTGGGTCGCCTGCTCGGTGTCAGCCCACCAATGCAACGCCGCTAGCAGCTTCTGCCGGCCTTGCTGATGCAGCCGGGACTCCAGCGCGGCATTTAGCAAGAGGGTACGGCCGGGCCAGGTAACCCGGCAGGAAAGGGCGTTGGGGGGGAGCGCTGCAGGCTTGCCGGAGGCGACATTATGAGGGCTAGCAACCATGCTGCTGGAAGGAGGACTGGTAGAGGAGGTGGAGGCGGTGGTGGCTGCGGTACTGGGGGAGGCTGCTGCTGCGGCGGGCACCGGAGTTGTAGCGCTTGTCGGGGGTGACGTCACCGCTGCTGCGGCAGCAGCACCCGAGGAGGTTGACGCCGCAGCGCTGTCGCCGCCGTCTGCCGCATGCTTATGACGACGCCGTGACTTCACATGCGGCCTCCGATGCTGTGGCGACGATTCCAAAGGCGACTGCTGCCGCTGCTGCTGCTGCTCCGGCCCCTCCTCCGTCAAATCCACAACCACCTCCTCAGCAACCTGCCTGTTCGGGCGCTCCTCCTGCCCCTGCCGTACAATATTCAGGCCGCCCAGCCCCGCCCATGCCGCCACCAGGACCTCCAGCACGTCAAAGGCAGCGGGCAGCAGCGAGGGTCTGCCGTGCTGTCTGCCATGGGGCAGCGGCCCGCCCGCCTCCCTCTCGTCCTCGTGCTGCAACACCGAATTGATCCAGGCCGCCACTTCCATCCCCGTGCGTAGGAAGACCCACCAGTCTTTAAAGCTTGATAGCTCCCGACCTACTGAAACCGCCTTCGCGGCAGCAGCTGCTGCTGCCTTGAGTGCGGCTTCCCCGGCGGCAGCAGCAGCAGCAGCACCGGAGGAAGCGCTACTGCCGGACCCGGGCTCTGCGGAACTGCTCGTGCTGCTGCAGTTGCAGCTGCGGTCGGCCGCATTGCCGCCTCTAGCGGCAGCGGCAGTGCTGCTGCTCCCGTCGCCGCTTCCGTCGGAGGTCAAGCAAGCCATCTCCAATCGCCCCCATGCCGCCGCCTCCAGCCGCAATCGGGAGCCGAGACTCTGCACCGCAACCAGATGCATGCACCCCGCCAACGTCCCCAACGCCTGCGGCAGGTAGCCCCTCACACCGCGTTCGATTACGGACGTCGCCAGGATAGGCAGCCACTCCTTGATCGCAAACGTGGCCAAGTAGCGCTGCTGTTCCGCAGCCAATGGCCCATGGGTCGGCAGACCTCCCGCCTTGGCCAGCCATGCAAGGTCCGTGGCGGCTGCAGCTCCCTGCCGCTGCTGGACTGCGTTGGTCAAGGCCAGGGGCGTGAAGAAGTGACCTAGGTGCCATTCCAACACTGGCGTGTCGCTGGCGGGCTGAACTGGGGCGGACTGCGCAGCAGCATGCAGAGGTGAGTCGGCAGCGCGGGTCGTGCCAGCGGGGGGCTGGGACGCCTCGGCGTGGGTTGGGGCAGGCTGGGGCGCGTCGATTTGGACTATAGCAGCGACAGGCTGGGATGTGTCCGCCTGCGCACCAGAAGGCTGGGAGACGTCTCCGGCCCGGGTAGCAGTCGTCTGGCGCGCCCTGTCGTCCTGACCAGCGGAGCACTGGGGCGTGCTACCATCGCCGCCCAGGCTAGCCGCGCCCTGGGTCACATCTGACTGACTAACGGCCGCCTTGTTGGCGGCTTCCGTCTGCGACAACAGCGCTGCAGCCATCTGCTCCAACAGCACTAGCAACAAACTGCCCATCCGCGTCTCCAGGACTTCCTCCGCCGCCTCTCCCCCCTCCAGCGTGGGCTGACCCGCTGCTGCGCCGCGAGTGTCGACGTCGGACGGCGACTTTGTACTGCCCAGCAAAAGCACCTTTCGCAGCGTGACCACCAGGGATGTCACCTGGGGAACTGACCCATGGGCCAGTACGGCGGGCCAGACACCCGTACGGCACAGCATGTTGCTGATCAGGAAGCAACACAGCTGCTCGCGCTCCGCCAGGACTGGCTTGGCGGAGGCAAGGCGCCTCGTGAGGGACTCAACGGCGGGCAGGAGGCCGCTTTCTAGGGCGCAGCGCAGACCAAAGGGGCAGTCGGGCTCCTGCTCGGGAGCCGCGACCGGGGCCGGCATCACGGTACCGGTGCCTGGGAGGAGCGGAGGTGCAAGGGCGAGGAAAGGCATGCTTGCGGTGGGTTCAAGAATAAACATATCGTAACAGCCAGCTCAACAAGCCAGGACGGACGAAGAGCGGAACACAGGTTGAAAACCAAAGCAGGCAGGGCTCCGAAAATGCTGCTTACCAACCCACATAACCCCGACCCTCACCCCGACCTCACCTGTAGTGCCCATCGGACCCACTGCCGCCCGCCCGACTCCGCCCCGCGCCTGCTGCCCCTGCGCCGCTACCGCCGCCTCCCCGGCGGCCTCCGACTGTCCCTCTGCCGGGCCCCCAGCACCGCCCCCAGCCTCCACATCCGCATCCGCAACCCTAACGGCTGCCACAGGCTGCCCCGCGGCCCCTTCCTCCACCTTAACCCCGGCCGCGGAATCTCCCGCTGGCTCCGCTGCCGTTGCTGCTGCTGCCGCCGTTACTTGCTGCTGCTGCTGCTGCTGCGGGTGCTCCTGTTGCTGCTGCAGATGCTGCAGCTGCTCCATGCTCTGCCACGTCATGGTCTTCCTCAACAGGTCGGCAATGCGGCTCAGCGGCCGGTTGGGGCGGCGTCCCAGCTGCACCTGCGGCCGCAGCAACAGCGACGAAACCAGGTACCACAGGTCGGGCAGTCGAGCCAACGCATGTCGGCGCCCCAGCTTGTCAAACAGGCGCAGCAGTAGCATCGTGGGTGCCACTAGGGTTAGGTGGCTGCCCCCGGGGAGGTGCTCCGCGGGGGCGTCGTGTACGACACATAGCAGGGAGCCGTGCATCAGATCAAACACGTTGACGGGGCGGTACGGCATGCCGCACGCCGCGACGCCGCGGCTCCCGGCGGCGCTGCTGCTGCTGCTGCTGCTGCCGGATGCGGCAGCGGATGCTGCAGGCGTGGCTTGGGAATTCGCGGCGACGGCAGCAGCAGCGGCGATCTCTGCAGCTACCGCCGGCGTTGCTTGGAGATTTGCACCAGCGGCGGTCTCGGCGGAAGCCCCTGCAACCGTAGCGCCTGGAAGCGGTGGGGTATCATCGGCGAAGGTGACGTCCCACACGAGGGCTGCCGCGCCGAGGCGGGAAAGCACCCGGTCCGCCGCCGCTGCAGCGCCGCGGGCGATGACGGAAGCACTGAGCGCGGAGGTCTCTGGAAGGAAGGTGTCTGGCAGGCCGTGCCCGGGTCCCGAACCGGTGAGACGCAGCCGGGAGGCAATCAACTCCCGGCCTAGCAGGAACTGCAGGGAAGGGAAAGGACAGGGGTGGCAGCGAGCTTCACTACCAGAGTGCAGTAAACGTGGGAGGTGGGAGGAGTGTATGGGGTGTCTGCTGGCAACCGAAACACAACCACCGGTCTTCCCCCACTACCCGGGTTGCCCTTTTCGTCTTTGTCAGGCACGCACGTACCTGCAGGCAGGGCCCCGACAGCACTCTGCGGACCAACGGCAGCACCCCCAGCCATTCGGAGTACAGCGCAGCCTGGGCCGGCAGGGGACGAGAACCCCACTTCTCCTCCAAGACGCCCTGCTTGCCCGCGATCCCGTGCAAGGCGCTAACGATGCAGCCGCAGGTCTCCACCACGCCCTGCTGGGTGATGTGAGCTTGGGTTCCCGTCATGGTGGCTGCTGCTGCAGCCTGGAAGCGCAGCAGCACCTGGCACATGTGTTCTAACAGGTGGCTGTCGGAAAGCGCGCGCACGAATTCGGTGTACAGGCACAAGCAGGTTGGGTCACCGTAAGCTTTTAGAGCTTTTTCGGAAACAGTGACCTGGACGCAGCTGCTGAAGACAAGACTGAACTGAGCCAGCGTCCGTAGCCTGGCGTTTAATTCGGTGTTCGGCGCGCCTGCCCACACCGCGATGAGCTGCGCATAGCATTGAAACATGTCGCTGCGAGTAAAGGCGCGAACGAGTCGAATGCTGAGTTCGGTGCCGGTCTTGAGCGCGTTCGTCTTCATGAAGATAGACATGCAGCCGCGTAGAAGCATCTCAACCCGCTCCGCCCTGTCGTTTTCTTCCTTGTGGAGTTGCACCAACTCACGCAGGGCAGTGCCATGGAGCTGCACAACCTTAGACCAGAATCCATGGCTGAAAAGAGTGGCAATCTCGAGGCCCATAAACATATCCATGCGGTCGACGACATTTGTGAATGCCTTTGTCAAGGAATATGGTAACCGGGATAGCTGATTGTGAGGCTGCGCTATATGATCAAGGATCCTATCAAGCAATGTGGACGCCTCAGTTGCAAAGTGAGGTAAAGGTGGGGAAACAGGCGCCCTACCATGGCGCCGCATTCTTTTTGCTGTGCGCGAATCTCGATGCTTTGGTGTTTAGAATCGAGCTGGTGTTCTTGCTTGCATATCCTCGAAAGATCGGCATGATAGCGCACGGTTGTTGGCATATTGCCAGCGTACAACATCCTTGCAAGTTTTTTGAACGTACGCACGGTAATAGCGCCGATACTCGGCATGCCCATTACGTGTCGAGGAGGTTGCCGAGTAGCACGCAGCTCTAGCTGGCGCCTTTCGGCGCATTTCCCTCTCCTTCTTCCTTAACCTTTTAGCCTCCAGCCGTCGTTTAGGGGTTGTCCTTAGCATCGGCCTAGCTTTGTCGGATTCGGTTGTGGTCTCATACATAATCTAGGGCCCGCTACCGGCGCCACAATTTGCTGGTTCCGTCAAACGAACACCCGATATGCACGGGAACCCAAATGGCAGGGTCATCCAGCGCGTGGGGGACGGCGGGCGGGGCTCCCGCCCTCTTAGGGTCGAGCGGAAACTTACGAGGAGTGCGGGCGGGGCTGTACACAGCCCGCCGGGCCATACATTTCTAAGAAACGAAGCCAAGTGCGCGAAAGTACGGAATGCATACCGCTATACGCTATGTCCCCAGATCCCATACCGGTATGGTGCAAGCCACGAGCCCAGACGCCCGCCTGATGAACTTCTGCGCCAAAGGTTTTGCGTTTTCGCGGGCATGTGCGTAAAGGAAGGGTCTTTCCACGCAATAGCAGTAGAAATATCGCAGGGAAGGGCTACGGTCACGGACTGATTGTTTTGCGAAAGCGTCCAATACGTATTGTAGCAGTTATGCCCGTGCTGTCCTGAAGGTATGTCCTGATGGGCTGCGCCCAGCTGATGTACATGCGGCCAAGCCATGTCAAAAGGTCAAAGAGGTCCGCAGCAGCATTCTGGCGACAAAACTCGCGACACCTCATGCCTCATGCATAGTGTACATGCAGCTTACGCGGTTCCCTAGGTAGCATGCCAGCTGAAACCTCATGCACTCAGTCGTCACATTGCCGGCAAAGCACGAGCTAGGAGCTTATCCCTCAAAGTATGTGAAACAATTATCATACATACATGCAAACATGTTGTAGACCAAGTAGCCGTGGCACACTCAACAGTCCCGGATTCTCACAAGGCGATGGTCGTTGTGTTTTGGATTGGATCTTTCACGCTTAACATTCGTATGCCACTAGTGCGCCATTGAAAAGTAGCAACTGCATGTGGAGTATAACACCAGCATAGCAAGCATGCTCACTTCCATCAACCTATCATCATGATAGACCGAGCGCTCCGGGACCATGCCAATACCGTCTGCCGAAACTCTTTACTCTCCTCTTTCCGCAGGTTAAAAAGAAAACCTAGTTGCTTTCGATAAATTCCTTAAAGAAGACGCTCTCGCTTCTTAAGAGCAAACATAAGTCCCTGGCTAGCTTCAACGCATGGCAGCAACTTGCAAGATGCAGGTCACAATATCAATTTTGGTGCAAAAATGAAGGCCAAAAGCCATTAAGACGCGAAGCTGGGGTATCCAGGGGTTGGTACGCCGCAGCTTGCAACATGACAAGCCCCGCCACCTTCAGCGCGATTTCGAACGTCATTGGTGGCCCGGTACCTGATGAATCTAGGCAGGGTCGTCTCAGACAACGGTATGATGCATCAGGAGCGCGGCTTGTGGCAGGGTAAGAGCCCGTTTGCAACTTAATTGGGTTCGCAAGTGCCTGCTTAACATATCTTTCTGATCTGGACCTTGCAGTTGTATCCCTGTCCGGTTTTCTGGGTGCGTACAAAGCTACCAGCACGTCCAGGTCTGTATGGTCACCAGCACAAGCGGCAACGGCCTTGTCTTTCCCAAGGTATGGCTACAATCGGGAGTGATGACTAGGGGGTTGGCAGTTATCAAGTCAACAGGGGTGGGATGCATGCTTCCAGAGGCAAAAGACTTCTGGAAGCCTGCACGCACGCATGGTTTTGACACCCCATCCTTTCCCCCTTGCTTGCTAGGGTGGTTGGGAGGATGATGAGAGTGTGGAGTCCGCGGCCCAGCGCGAGACCGTGGAGGAAGCCGGAGTGCGCGGTGTGCTGGAGGTGCGCAGCAACCCTCAGCAGGGCAGGGGCAGGATCCATGAGCGGGGCCATGATTGATGGGTCTCTAACACACCCTCCAGGGCCCCGGGGGCGTGACTCTGCCACTGCTCCTTTCCTACCTCTCATGCGCACCACCGCCCCAGCCAACTGCATGGTGCCTTGCCACCGCCAGGACTCGCCACACTCCTCTCTCCTTCCCCTTACTCTCCTCCTCCTTGCCACCACCCATCCTCCCCCCCTCCTCCTTGCCACCGCCAGGACTCGCCGCTGGGTGTGTTCCTGTTCGCGAGCGGGAAGCACGTGGCGGGGTCGGCGGGCAGCGACGGCAGCGACGGCGCCCCGGGCGGCCGCTGCAAGGCCTACATGTTCGTCATGCATGTGGCGGAGGAGCTGCCGAGCTGGCCGGAGAGCAGGGACCGACAGCGCATCTGGGTGCGTGGGGGGGGGCCAGCCGGCGTGGGGGGGGCATCCGGCGTGGGGGATTAGATAAACTGAGCCGGCGTGGGGGGGCGGGGGGCAGCTGGCATGTGGGGTCAGCTGTCGTGTGTGGGGGGGGGCGCGGAGTGGGGGTTGTCGGCATGCATGTGGCCGCGCGGGCACATGCAGCCATGCTGCCGTGAGGGCACCTGCGGCCGCGGCTAGCTGTTGCAAAACAGCATGCTTTGTGGTTAACAGGTTGTGACATTTAGGGAACAACTGCAGAATACAACCTAAGCGCCGCATAAACTCGCACAATCCGCCTCCTGCCGTTCCCCTCCCCTTGTGCGCAGTGCTCCATATCGGAGGCCTCGCGGCGGTGCAAACACCCCTGGATGCGGGAGGCGCTGCATGCATGGGTGCGCCGCAACGGCTGGCAGGTGCTGCTGCTAGAGGCGGGGGCTACAGCGAATGGCGGCGCCGCAGCGGCGGTTGGAGCAACGGCCAACGGACACGCAGCGGTTGCCGTACCTGTGGTGCCTGTGGCGGTGGAAGCTGGCGGGCAGGTGGTTTCGGAGCCGCTAGTTGGCGGTCTGGCGGCAGGGAGCGTTGTAGGACTACAGCAACAGCAGCAGCAGTTACAGGAGTGAGGGAGCGTTATAGCCTTGTTCTTCTGGATTGCGGCCCTTCAGTAGCAGGCGGGTGAGGGCTGGGGAGAAGCGCTCTGGGGAAGCGCAGGTGGCTTGTGTTGGTGAGGAAAGAGAGAGGGGTTCGTCAGTTGGTTTGGTCCGAGGTGAATGGGCCAGGCGATAGGAATACACTGTGCATAGGCGTGATATCGATGTGACCATCATTGGAAGGCAGGGCTTTTCCTGCTTGTATCATAATAAGTGGTTGCCGAGGAGATGAGGATGAAGGCGATGTGGGTGATAGAAGAGAGCGTGCCTTGAAACCTGGGGCCGAGAGAGAAGGGGCGTGAGACCAACCCAACACCATGGAGGAGTTGCTGTATGGTGTACGGCGGTGTACGGCACCTGCTGCCTCCCAAACGAAGGTGCTTCTGTTAGTTTTTTAACCGCCATCTGCGGTTTCGTAGCTTCGGGGGGCGGTAGGCACAGCTTGCTTGCTTGCTGGATAGCTAACTGTCGGTTTCCTGGTGGCCTAGCTACTGTGCAGCACCACCACTTGATGTGCGCTACACCACCTGCAAGCAGTTCATTTGCTGGCCCAACGGTGGTAAACTGGTCATCCACCTCGACCACCACCACCACCACCTCCACGCTTGGGCGGTAGTTACGGTATCACATGCAGGCCCGCCGACATGCCGCACACGCTACCTTGCTCAAAGTACTGCCTTTCACCAGCACAGCAGTGCCTTTCGCTTGCGTGGGGTTTCTTGTCTGCACGCGTTTGAGCTTCAGTGTCCTTTCGAGGGGTGTCCTTTCCAGGCATGTAGTCCCACGCAGCATGGCATGCGGAGGGCCGCGTGAATGGGGCTCTGCTCAGCAGTTGTCATCGAGACCGCGCCAGGAGATACCGGTACCGCGCGGCAACATGCTCACTGCTGAAACTCCACGTACCGGTATTCCTGCTGCTCCGTTGGAGCGGCAGCTGACCCAGATTGGGCCTCCGTTGCAGCGTTGAAGACATGGCCAGGCGAGGAAAGGAGTGTCGCGCTGGCTTGCTCTGGCGCGCGTCCTTGGTCTCGTGGGCAAATCCCATTGTTGCAATGACTGGAGCCAAGTTTGGCGGCTGGGGCGGTTGGTTATGCGTGTCGTGTGGTGGGGCTCCTGGGATTGGGAGCCGGGGAGGCAGTGTTGAAGGCATTGCGAGGCGGAGTGGAGCGGTGGGTGTGGGGGCTAAAGAGGAGGGCAGAGGATGCCAACGCGTTGTGGTGAGGTGAGGTTGATTCTGCTCTTGCTGGTAAGAGCGTGGGAGGGTAGCGTTACTTAGATGTGCTCGAACGAGGCTGGTGAGGGGAAAAGGTAGGGTGGTGGCATGACCGCATCAGGTGCGTAGCCGTGGATGGGAGTGCAGACGATATGAAAGCTTTGCGAGAGAATTGTGAGCGGAGGTGGCGGAAAGCCCTTGGCGTGTATCCAGACGGGTGCGAAGCATAACTTGGCTGCGGTTCCCGCTGCCAGTATCGAGATGTGCAGCGACTGCTGCGGGGTCCTCCTCACCCTGAGACGCATGGTAGTTACCCAGTCAATTACCGATGTCTACGGTCGCCCGCGTCTTCATCCAATTGGGCACTGTAGCCGACGCACTTTGGGCATACACTGTTCACTATCGCAGCCATGCAGCCCTTCCCTGCAAGGCGGGTTGTGGCACACACGTGAACCATGGATCCATGCCGTACGGTGACGTTGACGGGCCAGAGCCGACAGCCGAGGCTGTAGAGCGGCTTGTACATACACGACATCATAGTTGCATACCGCAGACGCGAATTGTTATGGATTAGTGGAAGTATTGGTGCAACCGTATCTCAACAGACGCGGTAGTATAGCGTCGTTAGTTGTCATTCCCGCCTGGAACTTCCCTAAATTAGCTGCTTACGTTATCGATTTGAGGCTGCACCTCGGCGCCTCGGAAAACAGTAGACAATTGGACCATTTGCCAACTGAAGCAATTGGAGCAGGCCAAACCATAATGACGCTAGTCTAGTATCGAATAGACAGCGATTATGCAGCCTGCTCCGCTCGATGGAGCGGGTCATCCAGCTACAAACGAGGCCTGGGCGCGACTGTTGGAACTCTTGCAGAATGCGCAAGCTGCCAGGCCTGGAAACGCCGGATATCCAGCTTACAACCCCGGTGACATGGAAGATGCTTCCCTCGAAGCTGAGTCGACAACTTCTGCTGACAGCTCTCCAGCGCGGCCTGACAGCCCCGGGGAGCGGCGAGCATCATCCTCCCATGCGACCGCCATCCCCCACCAACCCCTTTACCTTCAGCAGACTCAACCCCGACAACACCCGCAGTCCGCAAACGCGCACCGCAGCTTTGCGTATCTCAGCCAGTTAAGTCGCAGACCGCAGGCCGTGACAGCTGCAGCCACATCCGGAGCAATTGCCGCCCAGCCCGTGGATTCTGAGGACCCTGAAGCCTCGGTTTCCGCATCGGCGGAACGCCATCGATTGGCGACGGACAGCTCGGGGATAAGCCTCTCGGTGAGCAAGCACAAGCGGGGGCATGGCACCCGCCGTTGAACACAGGCACCTCCCCTCGGCACTTTCACACCCCATGTTCTACCAACTATGGTCCGTTCAGTTACCCAGATCGGTCCCCTTAACGTGCCCCCCACGTGCAACGCGCCCCCCACCCCACCCCAGGTGTTGGCTGAGTGGGTGTCGGACTTGGTGCCCTTCACGCTGCTGCTGCTGTGGGTGCTCATACTGCAGCACACCAACGGTGAGGCTGGCGGGAGTGTTGGCAACTCGTGAGGCAACTCGTTGGAGTGCAATACGGAGCAGTGGCGCGTATGCCCTGCCAGTCCCCAGCCACTCCCCTCCCCAACCCACAACCCTCTCCCTCTCTCTTTACTCCTCATAGTGTCCTTGGCCCCCCTGGCTCGTACGGACACACTGTACACGCGCACAGACTGTATAGCTGTAACTGCCTTCCCTTCCCCTTCCCCCCAACAACGCACACAGTTCTGCTGCTGCTGGTGCTCCTCTCCAGCTCCATCCTTGCAGCCAACGCAGACATCCGCAAAACCCTGGCCATGCGCACAAGTCAACCGCCACCGCCATCTGCCCCACCCTCCACCAACGCAGCCGCGTCCGCGACGTCCGCCGACCTTTCCATCAGCAGCGGCAGTTCCAATGCTGCCCTCCGGGGTGCATCGAGCAGCAGCAGCAGCCGCATCCTCGCAGCAGCCGCGTCAGTGGCTTCTTGGTTTGGTTCCTTGTTTGCTGCAGGCAGCTTGACACGTCAGCTGCTGCGGGTGGTGGGGGTGACGGCGGCGGCGGTGCTGGCATGCGTGACTGATGAGCCCCGGGTGCTACGGGTGCTGGCGTTGCAGCGAGTGTCTCCGGATAGCGTGAGAAGGGGCGGGGGGGGGGAGGGAAAAGAAGAATCCCAAGGTGTTTATTGAACACCTTGGGGGTATTGAAGCTTGCAAACGGGGGGAGGAGGGGTGATGAATCGTCCGAGAGTATAGGACTGGCTGTGTTTGGGTTCATTACGGGGGGTTGCCGGGGGTAATTGTGGTAATAGTGCTGTTGCTGTTGGTCTTGCTGTTTGCTTCTCACCCTGCTGTTGCATGCCCTGCCAGCTGTGTTCCTGGCTTCCGGCATTCGAGGCCGCGAAAATGAGTAAACTGCTTTTGGCACCGGTTTGCCACTACTCTGCATGACAGCCCGAAATTATAAACTCAACCACAACAACACGCTTCAACACGCGTCCTGCATCCGTTTCCCCTTCCCTTCCCTCCAGGTCCTAGACGCCTTGCTGCTGGTGCTTCTGGGCGATTCCTTCCTGCGCCTGGCAGCCATGTTGCCTAAACTGGCAACCGTAGCCTGGTTCCGCTACCGTCTTAGTAGCATCATTGCCAGCAGCAACAGCAGCAACAACGCACGGGGCGGCAGCAGCAGTAGCAGCGTCTGGGGCAGGGGCACCAGATTGCTCCGGAGGTGGTTCCTAGGAGGCTCCTCCTCCTCCTCCTCCTTAGCAGCGGGGACCTCAAGAGACGGCGCAGGAGGCGGGTGCGGCGGGTGCTGCGCGGCGGGGGGCGCAGCAGGGAGCTGGTGTGCCCGGTTGTTATGGAGCGGGGGCGGGTTGTGGGCGGGAGGTGGAGGTGGAGGTGGAGGCGGCTCCTCATATCTGACAGCGGGGGCCGGTAGTGGCGGTGGTGGCGGCGGCGGCAGCGGGGGTACTGCTCGTGCGTTGCGGCAACAGTCCCGAGTGCTGACGGCGGTGGAGCGGGGCGTGGCGGCGTACCGAGCGGTGATACCGGCACCCGTGTGGTGAGAAGGCTGGGCAAGCTGGGGCAAGGGGGAGTTATAATGAACGAGAAGCGCAGCAGCAGGAGTCCCAGTCCCAAATCCCATATACACATGCCGGGAGGGGGCAGGGAAAGGGGCTTCGGGGGGGCCACAGGTGCCACCGGTGTTGGTTCTGGTGTCTGGTTGTCTCCCATGTTTACATGGACAACCTCGCCTGATGGGGCTACATGTGACTCCCCGCGCACCCGCCACCCGCCTCCACGCCGCAGGTACGGCTACCTGTTGCACGGCAGTGGCTTGTCGCCCGTACCCGCATCCCTGTTCTGCGGCTTCTACCTCGCCCTCAAGGTACGGCAGTTAGCGGGCAGTTACCCTACATTACCGACTTGTTGGTTTGGCCGTTGCCGCGGAGGAGAACCACGGCTCCATCGCCAACTACCGGTGTAGGGTGACTCTTGCCGACTTTGCTCCTGTATAATGATAAAATGATGATTCGTTTACCGGTGCTGCACGTGTCAAAAACTGCTGTCAGGGCGGATGGCTGGGTCTGGTGTAGGTCGATGTGGTTGATTTCGTGAGGGCGCTTGTCCGTACCTGCTGCCGTACCCCAGGCGCCGTACGTCATAGCACAGGTGAAGCTGCTGGTGCTGGCGTTACGAGTGGCGTTACGGCAGGGTGCGCTGTACGGCACCTACGTTGGACGAGACGGCGAGATGGGGAGTTTCGGAGCATGTCCCGTGTGCCAGGTGAGTCAGCTATCTGGCGGTTTGGGGAGGTGTGTCAAGGGTGTTGTGGTGTGCAGCGGGGGGGGTCATGCACATGCATTCAGCTTAAGTTATGCAAGCTGTACTGCTGACGCCCTCCCTCCCTCCCTCCCTCCCGCGGATCAACAACCCTCCTTCGGTTCCTCTCCCCCGCAGGACCCGGTGAGCTGCGCGGTGCGGTTGGACTGCGGCCACGTGTTCTGCGAGGAGTGCATCGTGGAGTGGATGGAGCGGGACCGCACCTGCCCCATGTGCCGAGCGAATGTGCGACCCGCAGGTCTGCCGGCGTGCAACGACGGCGCGTCACCGCTGCTGCCGCAGGTGTTTTGAGGCCGTGCTGTATACGGCATGTGATGATGGGCTGCGATGCGGGGTGGAGTGTGGTGGGGGGTGCAGGAGCGCATGTGGGTGGGAGCTGCGAGTGAGGCTGTGCGGTGGCAATTGCTGTGGGGCTGTTTGCGGGTTGGGTTGTTCTGCGGGGTACACAGGCCCTCGTGTGGGCATAGCATGCTGGTCAGGGCATCACAGCATCGACGAAGGCGCCGGTTTGCGATGACCCCCTCCAACTTCAAGGTGCAGCGTACACATGAGTACATGATGATATGAGCCTTATCATGGCGCCTCATGGGCGCATAAGCTGAACCGTTGAAAGCTAGGTCAAAGCATTTTCACGCGTGTCTGGCGTTTTCCGGTTGTGAGGGGTCCCCTGTAACCCCCCGTCAAGCGGCGCAGCAGGCCGGGTTACGTGCATGTAACCGCTCACACACATCGGCAACATCCCAACTGCTTGCTCTTGTTTCCGCTCAACTACACATCGGCAATCACAGTACTACAATTCCGACTCGCGGCCAGTTTTCTTCACACACTGAGGTACCAACACAGCAGGGCTCACAGATCACAGACCCCTGGCACCTCAACCTGCCATCCGGCCGCCCCTTCTTGCGTCTTGCTTACTGCTGGTACCGTTTAGAAGACGGACGTCTGGGCCTTTCTACTGCCTTCCCACCCAACCGTCACGCATGCCCAAACCTATCCCAAGAATCCCAACAGGCTTGGATCCTTTGGGCACGTCGTTCAAGTAAGACTTTGTATAACAATTTGAATTCAAATTAACAGCTTAACGCACCAGCTCACCGTCTAAACGACGACATGTCGGAAACACAGCTTACTAAACGACAACCCCGGCATGACCCCGCTACGCCCCCAACATGTCCTTCAAACGCAGCAGCAGTACAAAACCGTACAAAGGCGCTAACCGCTAGCGCTAAAGCATGTTGTGCATAGCTCTCGTGCATGTGCGGGGTCGCCGGTTTGTGCATGTGACCCGTTTCTGCACGTCCTTATCCGCCCTGGTCGGCTCGATCAAGATATTTGCGTTCCATTCTTCGTCCTAACAACGACCCACCTCACACGCAGATTAGAGCCTCAGCTCGTCGACCAAAAGGTGTTGTAGCATCAATACTTTCTGTGACAGACAATGACAGATGCCACAGAATAAAACTTTTTCAACAAACGAAACAGCAGCAGCAGCAAAAAACAAATCAAACAAAATCGTTGGAATATGTGTTTCGCTTTACCATCTTCTTCTCTCTTTCACTTTTGGTACAGATAAACAACCGATTACACCTAATTCTCGTACAAGCAGTAACTAACAACCCACAACCCAACCAAACAAATAAAAAGCCAACTCCCAACGCAATCCCAACCGCCAACCGTTACACCTCTCAACCTACAGCCCCGCAACATCACCACAACCGTACAGCAACAAGCGCCTCACGCCCACCTCCTTCCACCTTCCCTCCTTGCAACGCACCAAACTACCCCTCATCGCATTCTTCCTACCACCAAAACAGGCTTGAGCGCTACATTTCCTCTCTCTGGCCCCCCATGGGTGACATCTCTTACCTCCCTTTATGCAGCCGTCGGCAGCAGTTGACCGTCAAGCCGCCACAGGCAGCCGTATCGAGGTATCAGCCCGCGGTTGACAGCGCCATCAGGGCGCACTTGGCCGCCAGCAGCGCCCGGGACTCACCCATCACCCGGCAGGCCAGCTGCAGCCGCTGCAACACGTCCTGCGTCTCCAGCGCCTCCTCCTGCCACCTCAGGAGGGCCTCACGCTCCTGACAGGAGGGGGCGGGGGACGGGGGGGGCCGGGGGAGGGACATCGGGCGGGAAACCCGCATGCATGACGCGAGGCAGTAATTTAAACAGCAGCCCCTGACAGCTGGGCTGGGGGCTATCCCGCTGCAAGCTGTGGCAGCCTTCCCTCTGCCCTGCCGGATCAGCTATGGCTTACAAACCTAACTTTTAGGTGACATTCCCCTTTTTTGTATATATGTATCTTTTGTTCATTTTTTTAAATAAAAATAAAACAATTTGATATGGCATGCATCAACACCCGGGTAAACACCCGAGATTACATCCCGTAAGTTTCCCCACCAACACACACCCCAGCGCCCCCCTCCTCCCTCCTCACCTCCTGCGTTGCCGTCGGCAGCGGCTGAATGGCAGCGAGCGACAACCGACATGCCCGCTCCAGATCCAACAAGCTGGGACGCGAACGAATCACTGCCCCGCCCAACGCGCCGCCGCCGCCCCCGCCCAACACCGCTGCCGCTGCGGCCGCCAGATTGCCCGCGGCTGCCCCTGGAAGCCCCGTCGATGATGATTTTACAGAGGAAGAAGATGAGGAGGGGGAGGAGGAGGAGGAGGAGGGAGTGGATGATGATGTTGTCGTTGCTGATGCACGGGGTTCAGCACCCGCCGCTGCCGCGGCGGCGTACTGCGCATCGGATTCGGATTCGGATCCAGAAGCCGCGGAAGCGAGCATGGAATCCGCGATGTCGCCGCCGTACGCAGATTCTGTTGCCAGGAAGTCGTCGGGTTGGATCTGAGATGCAAGGATTTTGCTGGGTTGGAAATCTTCCAGAGAGGCGATGGGTGAGGAGGGCAGCGAAGAGGTGGTGGCAGTATTGCTATTGCTGCTGCTGTTGGTGCGGTTTGCTGACGTACTGTACACAGGTGTCGTACGGCTGTTCAGGAGCATGGAGGAGGAGGAGAAGACGAGCGGGTTGGGGTTGTCAACCCTGCAGGGATGGTGGGACCGGGGGGAGTGGGGCAGGTCGGAAGGGCGATGGGTAAGAGGAAAGAGGGAGGGTAGGAAGAGGGTGCGGTGGTGTGCCGGCAAGCGGAGGCATGAGGATCGAACACGCTGCGAACCTTCTCGTGTTTGCTACCAAACACCTGGCATGCATTATCAATCGGCATCTCTCGCTTGTACGGCATGCGTGTGCGACACAGCCCGTGTACGACACAGCTTCCCCACGTGACACAGCTCCCCCACGTGTACGAAACATCCCGTCCCGTCCCGTGCACGACACAGTCCCCGCACCCACCAGTGCATGGAGCGTTGGAGGTTGGCGGTTTCCGGGCTCTTGAACTTGGCCGCCAGGTTTTGAATGTCCTGAGTGGCCGGGAAGGTGAGTGGCCGGGAAGGCGAGCGGTTGGCGCTCAATGTGCTAGGCTGGAGAAGCGGCCATTGGATTGGCATTACGGCGGTTGACGGCATGAGGGGCAACCGGGCGATTGGAACAAGAGGGCAACCTTACCATGACGGCATGAGGCCCCCTCTCCCCCATGCCTTCACCCACACATAAGACTTGCCTCCCTCCATTTCTCCTCTTGTCGTCTGGTTTGCCATTCTCATTCACACACTGGGTCTCTCCTTTTCCCTCCCTCCCATCCTCCCTGGACCCACCCGCATGAGAGCCCTCAGTCGCTCCACCGAGTAGCAAATGTCCCGCCAGGTGGCGGCCTGAGTAGGAGGGGGTAGGTGGGGGGGTAGGGAGGGTGGTAGGTGGGGTTATGTGTCAGCATGGGCGGCGGGCAAGAGGGGATGGTCAAGTGGTGGTGGTTGCGGACAGAAGGGCGTAGCTGTGGCAGCAGTGGTGTTTGACTCACTCAAACATGCATCGCCATCCAAACCCCCACGACCCCCCCCCCGCCCCCACAACCTGCATGCGGTCCAGGTCCACCGTGTCCGTGACGGGTACGACAACCGCACGAAAGTACGGCCGCGTCTGGACGAGCGAGCGTACGGCAACCCGTCCCTCGGACTGCACCCGCAGCAGCACTCCGCGGTCCGTCTGCTTCACGTCGATAACCTGCCGGGTATACAGGTACCAGGAAGGGCTCAGTATAAGGGTAAGAGGCTCGGCTAAGCGGCCGTACGTTCATTGTGGACTGGGGGTGCAGCTACCAGGTGCCATGCCAGCATGCAACTGCAGGGGGTAGATCGTGTCAGGAAGGAAGGACAGGAGGGCAGCACAGCACTGCACAATGGTGGAATGTCAAGGCACAATGGTGACACAGCACGGCACGACACACGGCTGCTGGGGAATATCGCTGATGAGCGGCCAAATGTAGGCCAAGGTCCGCATGCGCTGTCGAGGATTTGCGTTATTGCTCTTGAGCCGTCGTACCATTGTGTGTATAAGAGGAACGGATGGCACGCTCATGACAACACGCACACGCACCTTGACGATCGAGGAGAGGTAGAAGACGCAGCCCCCCGCCTCGTAGCCACCCAGCCTGCTGCCCGCCGCCACCCGCCCGCTGTTGTCAACCGCCGTGTGTACGAGCATCCGGTGTGGCGAGCTGAGGAGCTCTTCCAGGAGCAGCGCATAGCTGCTGCTGCTGCTGTTGCTGCTGCCGCTGCTAATGTTGCTGGTGGTGGTGGTGGTGCTATCGTTAAGGCGGAGGACTTTGCAGCTGCCTAGGAGAGGGGGGTGGGGGGTTGTGGGATGGGAGGGCGCATAGCGGTCGCTTCAGGAAGGAAGGAAGGAAGGAGGATTGGCGGGAAAAACACGGAAGGTGAGGGCCGAACCCAAGCTTCGAGATGATAAAGGCGCTGTATACTGATAGGCGTACTGCACCTCAGCGCATATACCTGGTGCTAAGAGCTCCTTCGCGGTGAATGGCAGCAGTGGCAAGGCTGCCGGAAACCTTACAGCTGCGGGAAAAGAACAAGAGGTTGACACACCAATAAGCGTTATATTGTCCCTGTTAAAGATAGCGCCTTGCGTTTGAAGACGCGCGGCCGCTGATATGCGTAGACATGCAACGCTCAGCGGCCTTACCCTGGCATACCACAGGTTGGACCCGCTGCCGCGCTTTCGTGTGGACGAGCCTGAGTGCATTAAGGGAAGCGGTCTTCGCAGCGCTGTGACGGGCCAAAGAGCGAGTCCTGAGCGCGCTCTTCATCGCCACGCTGGCACAGGAATAACTGGTCTTTTAAGAACAGCAAAGCTAAAAGGGTATTTAGTGTAACACGTATACGCGCCTAGTGTTTAAGCGCTACAAGCGCGTATAAAAAGCGCGAAGCCAGGAGACGAAACCCTTGGAAAGCTGCGTTCTTAGCGTTTCAGTAAGTCATATGCACGCTTGAGTTCAAGTAGTTCAGCTGTGTACCTTCAAGCTGCAAAAAGCTACGGTTGTAGACAATCGCCAGACATTGACGGTTGGGCAACGACTTGGGGATAACAGCGTACTACCGTGTTACGCTCGTTATGTCCAGGCAAGTGAAAAGCAGCTGCAAAACCGCCCATGGAGAGCTGTGCTCTTGCCGGCCCCATTCTTCCGTGTTCCGTCATAAACCGAAAGCACACTTACAAAGGTCAACGCTTGCACATTAGGGAGTGGTCCATAGCCCAAACAAACTGTTAACACAAGACGTCTAATAGCAATCAGATTGCTTTTGCTGGTCGTTACCGAAAGTCGCCTTGCAAACTTTAGCTCCTACCAGTACATGCCATGGCGGCGGTGGAAGGCAATGGCAACCTTGCGGAGCACAGCCAATGTCAAGAGTCCTTCGCAAACGATTTAGAAATGGAAGCTTTCTTGAAAGGCGTCTCACTCGGCGGAGATGGGGACTCGGACGAAGAGGCTGACCGGTTGCTAGCAGCGGAGCAGGCAGCAGAAGAGCTAAGTGAGGAGGAGCTGCATGAGATGGAATCCGGGCCCAAGGACTGGCAGCGCTTCTACATGGATTACCACCAGGTAAGGTTTGCCGTACCGTGCACATCCATCACATGGCGGGTTCCGCTCCAACACCGGAAACCCAACAGGGGACCGCAAGTGAGCCGTAGCCCCGCTATAAAAGCCTTAGGCAAGTGTAAAGTCCAGCAATTGCCTTCAACTCCACAAACTCCAACCTTTCTACACTCCCTCGAGCACCCAGCAAACCCCAACACCATATGACTGTAACTGCGATTTATGAACGTTTACCCCACCCAAATAACCTTTCTCCCCATTTCCTTACCCAACTCAATCCCAACCTCCTTGCAGCGTTTCGTAAACGACTGCGTGCTGCAGCTGCGAGGCGGGAAGGTGTGCGTACGACTGGCTCAGGCGCCCTCAGCCAAGTGTGCGAACAAGCAGCAGCAGCAGCAACAGCAGGGCCGCTCCAGGCAGCAACAGCAGCAGCAGCAGGGGCAGCAGAAGCTGGATAAAGACTCCGATCCTGCGCTCACAGGTGCGTTTAGGGAAGCGGGTTTGGCTTTTGGAAGTCTCCATTACCGTAATCACTTGTTGCATGTGTGCCATCTGTGTACCTCACGGCCTTGCGTCCTAACCCCGTCCCGACCCCCGCCCCCACCCCATGTCCCGCCTGCCGCCGTCCCGACCCCCGCACCAACCCCATGCCCCGCCTGCCGCCAACGGCTCCAGCGCAGGCACGACTGTGTGGGACGGCGCGGTGGTGCTGTCGCACTTCCTGACGGAAACTGCCGTACTGGTACGACCCGCGGACTCGCCGTACGCCTACAGCGGCGGCCGCCTGCCTGCCGTACTGGAGCTGGGGGCAGGTGGGGCTGGGGGAGGGCGTGAGAAGGGGCGGGCGGGATTTCAGTGTGAAAGGTCATCATTTCAATACGAAAGATCATCTATAGCCCAGTTCCCCTTGCGCCCCGCCCCCCCAACAGGCACCGGCGGTGTATCCCTCTCCCTGGCCGCCTGCCGCCTTGCCGCCTCCGTCACCGCCACCGACCTGCCAGACCTGCTGCCCCACCTGCGAACAAACGTGGAGCGAAACAAACACCTGCTGCCGCCTCCGCCTCCGTTACCTCTGCCGTCGCTGTTGCGGGCAGCGGGAGGCGGAGGGGGGCTGCCGCCGCCGGGGGTGGTGGGAGCAGCGGCAGTTGGAGCCCGGCCGTTGCTGGCGGGAGCCGCTGTGGGGCGACCTCCGCAGCCTCGACCGCAATCGCTACTGCTGAGACAGCAGCAGCAACAACAACAGCAACGACAACAACAGCAGCAGCATCCGGAGCAGGAGCAGCAGTCGCCGCAGCAGCCGCCCCAGGTGCCACAACAACAGCCACAGCAACTGAGGCAGCCCCAACCGCTACAGCAGCAGCACCACCAGCAGCAGCCCCAGCAAGCGGCGGGCGGGGCGGTGGGCGGCTCAGCGGCGGGCGGGGCGGCAGGTCAGCTGCATGTGCAGCCGCTGCGGTGGGGTCCCGAGGGCGAGGAGGATGTGCAGGTGAGCGGTTGCAGCTGTGCTGGGAGGGGGAGGGGGCAGCAGGTAGCTCACCTGGATGCGAGTGGGAGCACTGGGGGGTGGGAGACTTGAGCGGCTTGGGTTGGCCAGTCTGACCATCCATCCCCACCCCATCCTCCCTCTCCCAACCTTCATTCAACACAGTGGGAATTTTCCCTTTCTCTTCTTTCCTTTTTTCCTCCCTCCTTTCCCCTGCAGCGCCTCTCCCCCGCCCGCCCGCCCTTCGACATTATCCTGGGCTCGGACCTCATCTACTACTCCTACTCGCCCACCACCCCCCACTCCCGGCTGCTGCTGTGGACGCTGCGGCGGCTGTGCGGCCCGCACTCCCGCGTCTTCCTGTCGCTGTCACTGCACCACAACCCGCAGGAGGTGGAGCGGTTCCTGGGCTGGGCGGGGCAGGCGGGCTTCCGGGTGCTGAGGTTGAGGAAGTCGGTGCCTGCGGAGTGGCGGGTGCCGGACGTGTTGGTGGTGAGGTTGACACCCAAGTGGGGTGGGAGGAGGAAGAGGGAGGAAGCGGGGGAGGAGGAGGAGGGGGAGAAGGAAGGGGGGCAAAGGGAAATGGAAGGGGAGGGAGGTAAGGAGAAGGAGGAGGGGGAAGGAGAAGCGGAGGTGAAGGGGTAGGAGGTGCAAAGGGGTTTATGCAGCAGTGGGGTGCGCGCGGCAGGGAGGAGGCGTGCAGGATGTTTGGGCTTCAGATGACAGGTGTCGGGGCGCCTCCCTTGTACTGCGAGTCTTGAACAGCTGACCAGTGCCGTGGCTGCTGTTAGCCATGCGAAATACATTGCCAGTATTTTTACTGGAAGCTGGCTTACCGGGCCGTGCAAGCGAAGCCATAAGGTGTTAGGTCGCGTGCAGCGAATACATGTAGCTAGCGGCCGGTGGGGCACGCTTTCATGCATGTCGCGTGAAAGCTAGAGGCCGGTGCACACGCAGCACCTGCAGCAGGCCGTCCAAGCGGACCCCAAATGTGGTGCCCATATCGGTTTCCCTCCTCTTAACCGCAAACAGCGTCCCCTCAGCCGCCAACTCCGCCGCTCTCTTTCCCATGCCGGACAGCCCACCCGCACATGCACACATACTCACTTGTGTTTTATGCCTCACCACACCTGCAACAAAATATGTACGACACACCTGCTAAGAGATGCGCTAACCCAGAAGCGACCCCGCCGTCGGGATCCGCCCCGGCGGCAACGGCGGCAGCAGGACCTTCCTGCTGCTGCCACCGCCGTCGCCCCTCCATCCTCCCTCGCCGCCGGCTGCCCCCAACCGCTCACTGCCATCCTCCCCATCGCCACTCCCACCGCTCCCACTCACACCGCCAACGCCCCCACTCAATCTCCTGCTGCTAGCACTACGGCTGCCCGCCTCACCGCAGTCGCCAGCACCGCCGCCTATGTCCTCCACAACGTCATCCACGTCAGCTGCTGCTGCTGCTGCTACAGCAGCCCCCGCCAGCGCTGCCTTCGATCCCTCCTCCTCCTCATTCCGGAAAGACCCGGTAGCCGCTGCAGCACCTTCTCCCCCTGTCCCTAAAACCCCATGATCCTCATCCCCACTGCCCTGCCTGCTGCAGCTACCGCTGCCACCCCCATTCACCCCACCATCTCCTCCCCCACTCCCTCCTCCTACGCCTCCATCTCCTCCCTGTACCACACTGGGGCCTCCTCCAACCCTTCCTTTGACTGCCTTCCTGCCCTCAGCTCCGCCTCCTTCACCACCACCACGACTCAAACTACTCATCACATCACCACCGCCGCCACCACCACCGCCACCACCACCACCACCACCGGTGGTACCACTCCCGGCCCCCATCACCGCGCCCCCCAACCCGTGCGCCTCCCGCACCTCCTCCGCAGCCCGCTGCAGCCCCGACCTCACCCACTGCACCGCCGCAAGCAGGGGGGCCACCAGCGCGGGACTGGCGGCGATGGTGTTGGCGTTACGGTCCAGAGCCGCCCGCAGCCTTGGAGAGGAGGAGAGGAGGGGCATGCGAAGGAGGAGGAGAGGGGCAGGGAGGGCAGCTTTAAGAGAATGACACATGGATGTCCATCTATGTGTACAGGAGAAAAGGGACAGGAGAAGGAGGAGGAGAGGGTCAGGAAGTGCAGCGCAGGTGCCGTGTCATTGCTAACAAAAACATGCTGCATGTATGTGCATGTGTATATGTGTGCAGCCACAGGTGCGGGATGCGGTGTAAGGCGGCGCAGGATGGCGCGTCGGCTTCCAGCACCATGTGTAGACTACCGGTACCCCACCCCTCCGCCCCCCACCTGCCACATGCTGGCTGGCTCACATGTTGCAACCCATGTTGACGCCTTATCCCTCAGTCAGTTAGTTGTTTCCTCTTTACCCCACCTGCCAGCAGCCATCAGCCCTCCACCGCCCTCCTGCGCCCTCAGCCGCTCCTCATTGGCAGAAAACACCTCCTCCGCCGCCCCCACCGCCGCCCCTAGCTCCCGCTGCATGCGGGGCAGCGCGGCGGAGGCCACGCGGGCAGATGTCACGGCGGCATTCACGGTGTCGTACAGCGTCCAGACCTGCCGTACGGAGGGGGGTCGTACGGCAGCACCCGTGTCATGCAAGGAAAGGGCGGATGCCGTGTTGCCGTTTTATGTCGCGTTTTCATGTCTTGTGGAGCGATGGGGTATGCGGGAGGAATGTGCAGGGAAGCGGGAAGCAGACGCAGGAGCCGCAATAGGACCAACCCAACCGCGGCTTTCGAGGTCCAGTATATCTAACACTGTTGCTCCTGATTAGGAGCTTCGGGGTACGAAAAGATCTCCCACGCACGTACCCGAGCTGGTAGACACCCAGGGAACGCCAAGCCCCCCACTCCAGGCTCAACACGCCACTCCCAGTTCCAGTCACAGCCGTACGACGTCAACTCCTCCGTACAACCGTCACCGCCGCCACCGCTGCCGTACTCAGGATCCGAAACCATCGCCGCCGTGAGCCCTGGATCCAAAACCCGCATGATGTCAGCGACCGATAACGACTCGCCGCCGTGGACTCGCTGGTCGCTGACGTGGGCCACGTCAGCAGCCGCCTGGCGTGCCGTACGAATGGCGGCGTCGACCACGTGCCGTACAGCTTCCGCAATTACGTCAGCGATGTCGTGGCCTTGGTTGCTTGATGCGTTGCGAGACGCAGCGCCGGCGGGAACGGAAGGAGTGCTGCTGGCAGCTACAGAAGAGGCGGCGGCGGCAGCGCATTTCCGCAACCGGAAGACTGCGTGATTAGCGCTGCTGACGGCGCGGCGTAGCACCGCCGCCGCCTCCTCAGCTTGAGCCCCGGCGTCGGGGGCGACGGAGGAGGTGGAGGCACCGGACAGCTGCGACGGAGGGCCGCTGTTTCGCGGCGTTACAACTCCTCCGTGGCCTGCCGTACTGCTGCCCCTGGAGCAACCCTGCATGGGCTCATCAGTTGCGGCTGTAGCTGTCGCTGCAGCTGAGTCAGCCGCTTCCGTCGGTGCTACAGCTGCTGCTGCTGTTGTTGTTGTTGATGATGTTGCCGCGGGCGGAGGTGCTGGAGGCGGCGGTGGCGACGACGTCACAGCCACTAGACGTCGGCCTGCCTGGGTGTGCAGCCGTACGGCGGGGAGAGCGGCGGTAGCGGCGCCAACGGCGACGGCGAGCTCTGCGACGGTGGAGGCGGCGTCTAGCACGTCGTCGGAACCGTACAAGCTGGCGACGTGGAGGGGCCCGGCGAGCTCTTTACGTACAGGAGCAACTAACCGGGCTGCTGTTGTTGTTGTTATTGTTGCGGTAGTATGTGTTGTTGTTTCGCTTGGCGCTGCGGATTCCTGTCTGAGCAGCAGCAGCCTCCAGGCAAAGGTGGGCGCCCCGGGGACCTGCGGGGGCAGCACACGCGCGCGTATCCGCAGCCCGGGGGCCGCTCGGTGCAATGCAGCGATGGCTTCGTTGACCCGATCTGTGAGCTGATGCAGAACCCGCATCAGCGGGGTGCCGCTGCCGTTGCAACTGCTCCTGGGGCTGGCGATGTTGGTACAGTTACCGTTATCGTTACCGTTGCTGACGCTGCAACCGCCTGTGATGCTGCTCATTCGGCCACCCATCAGGCGCTGATGCAGGGGAGGCAGGGATCCCGGCGCCGGGTGCAGGTGGAGGTGTTGCTTGGCTTGGTCGTACGACAGCCGCACAGGAAAGCTGTTTGCGTGGGATTGGAGGGCTGTGGTCAAGGCGTCCGTGGCTTCAGCAAGAGCCTGGTCGGCTTCTGCCGCAGCGGGCCGACTGGCTAGTAAGTGCCTTAGTTCCAAAGGCAATGGACGGCTGCTATCATCGGCATGTGAGACGGTAAGCAGCAGTTGAGGAACGCTGCGGACGCCATCAGTGGTTACTTCCAGCTCCAAAGCGTGTGCTGGATCCAAGGAGGCAGCCTGAGCGAGAGAGGCCTGCAAAGCGCCAGTTGAAGTGGATCGCATTGCGTCATTAGGGTTCGTTGGGAATCCGCGCTACTTGCAGAACATCAAAGCTGCGCACACCTTCACGTCCTGAACCGCGTCCTGTAAGGCATTGCTAAGGTCAATCACGCGGTTAACTGTGACCTCGAAGTCGCTGAAGAACTGGTCGTAGGCACTAATGCCTAGTCGCCTGAGCTGTACGCATTCTAAGCTGCCATCATCGTACTCCTTTTCAACACGCGGGATAATGGTTAGCGTCGCAGCAGCTACTTGCGCGGCTCGACTGGCCCCACACCCCCTACACAAAAAAGCGAAACTGTCAAAGCAAGTGCCTGCCAATCAGCGGTGACGATCTTGTACCCACATCTCGTAAGGTATGCTTCCTCCTAATATAGTGAACTTGCAGCTTCCTGGTCCATCCGGATACAGCTAAACAGGGGCTAGGGATTGTCTCAAATAATTAATAAGCAGCAGTAACCAAAGGTACTAGGAGAACGAGCTCCACCTATTGGATGCTTGCGCGCTGTGTACGGCATTAGTAAGTAATAGGGACTGCATCTAGCTGTCTTTGCCAATCTGTAACCATGCTACTTTCCCAGATGCCTTTCAGATATTGCTATAAGCAGTGGATACTTCATAAATATTTCGTCACAACTTGCCATGCCTGTACAGTATTTTCCCGCGTTGTCCATCTTGGGGTAAGCCGCATTCCTGAGGCCTTGAGTGTCAGTGTCAGGACAAGGCCACCTTACCATCTGGAGTAAATTTCGTTTCGGCTCTTGGCAGTTTGCGTCGGAATTCCTGCGTAAGCGGTGCCGATCAGAATCTTGGCACCAAATGTAGTCTTTATTGAGGTGACTAAACTGACTGCATTAACCATGCTGACGACAAGCCCATCGAGGTCCTTTGAGCAGTTGGCGATGGCATCCGACCGACAAGTCACGTCGGGGAATTTTGGCATATGGTATGCGACTTCACCTGCCCACTCGCCTGCTTCTCTTACCAGGAGCTACATGACTGGTTCCCTGGCCGTTTCCCTTACTACCGGTATCTACTACACTTATGGGCGTAGTTCAGCGTATGTATGTTATAAGCTGTTGTGCTAGCGCCTTTACCTTGGGTGCTGCCGGTTTCTGGTAGTTGTGAGTACGGCGTATCGGGCATATCTGCCGTACAGCCGCCGCTCCTCTTAGGCCGCGCAGCCCTGTGACTCGGGGCTGCGCATCTCTCGCAATAAACGCAAGCATGTAACGACGGTGTTTCATCGCCACCTGTCGTGGCCCTGCTAGCGGGTCACCGGCTTGCATGTGACGTCGTGCGTAGCCATTTCTTTACTACCAGCGTAATCCGATAGCCATAGCAATCAAGGATAGCCGTAATAGTTCGTTCTAGTCTAGATCACCTTCCCTCACAGGCCTGGTCAGCCTGTGGCCCAGTCGCCTTGCGGTCGGACCCCAGCCAATGGGCAATGGCGCAAGGAGGGCTGGGCGGTGCTACCTAGATCCCGCAAGGTTTAGGTGCACCCCCTTCCTGTAACAGGCAGGAAGCGAGCGTGGGGGCCAGAGGTGCGCAGCCCGGTGACGCTAGATGATCAGGCCGGTGTGTGGGCGCGACAGCTCATGCAGTACACCGAATCAGGGTTGGTTAGGGCACTGCGTCAGGCTTTGCACCTCACATACTGCTCAAACTGTACGGGTATACAACGTTTTTGGTCGCAACAACGCAACCCAAGTAGTGTAGGTGTAGACACTACGCCTCGCGCCACCTTCATCACTACAGGTCCGCCCGGAGCAGCAATTGTAAGCTGGCAAACGATAAGCACTTCTTTTTACGGAATAAGCCGTCAATGGTAAACCGCGAATCCAGAACACCCAACCCTAGGACCCAGGGACAAGCAGGAAACCCTACATCCATGTCACCTAATCATCCATGCATCACAGAACAACTGAAACAGCCGTAAAACATAGCGTCCATGAAAAACCACAAGGAAACATGAAGGAACATGGCGTAGTCGGCGAAACCGCCTCATAAAAAACATTGGCTCACTGCGACTCACCGTGTTCGACATCTCACAACGCCCGGTACGTCAGGATTAAAACTCCCTGTACGGAAAATCCGCTCGTCCAGCCGTACGAGCGCTTAACGTGCCGTACAACATGCCCTCAACATGCATGTATCGTACCTCGTAACTCATGCCCAACAACATGCTCAAAGTAGAACAATGCCGCCCTGAAAAACACTTGTGGTGAAGGAGGCCCCTCCGTTGGGCTAACCATGTGAACATGGGAACAAGGAACATTGCCTGCCTGCCCACACCATAATACCATGCCACCGTGCCGACATAAAAATGCACGCAAAATCAGGGATAACGAAAAACGGAAAAGCTCACAGTTCCAGCACGCAACAAGCATCGAGCCAAGGAAGGGAAAGAAAGGTGCAAAAAACATGCACCAGAACCTTGCAAAGCCTCTGGTACGGTATACATGTATGAATACACCTAACCTCTGTGAGTCGGGAGGAGACGCGTCACCAATCTTTCCTACACGTTGCGACCAGTTCTCGTCGCCATGCAACAAACACTCCAAGCCAAGGTACGGCCCCCCGCGCGCTTCGCTCCTCGCCTTCCCCCTGACTCTCCCTCCCACCCCTCTCACTCTCACGATTGGGTCAATGCCTCCCTCGTTTATCAATTCGCAGCCAAAGGAACTTCGCCCACATGGAACTGCCAGTACGGCGCACTTTTGTACGGCACGACGCCGCATGCAAATCCGTCAGGGCTCACGGCACATTAAGCACAGTTTGCACGGGGCACCATGCGTGGTCCTTCACATACACACCGTTAACATACAGCGATTGCTTCACACTCCAAGTGCTCCACACAATCAAGCCAACCGGCGACGTAAACACAGTGGCTGGATCGGGAATTGATGAGCAACGTTTTGGGTCGTCACAAGACTTTGTCACCTCGATCCTGAACTTGGCTGGAGAGGGAAGTGTAATGTGTAGGGGAGAGAGGGAGGAGGGAGCGTGAAATCGTAAAACTGGCCCCGAGGAGGAACGGGAGCATGCAATAGGACCGGCGTTACTCCCTATTCATGGAGAATTTGGGTAAACTCGTTGCCCTTCGTGCATGCTACTGCTGGAGACGTGGAGGAAAGGGCGATCGGCCAGGAGAAGGCAGGTAGGACGACCCATGGGTCGGTTGCGGCCTTACTTGCTGACGGGAAGATGGCGCCGTTCAGTGTACCCTTGAGGCTGTAACTCGCGGTCATTGGCGTCTTGGTCCCCGAGTCCTTGAGGTCCCGGATCGTATTGAGAACCCGGCCGTTCACCTGCGATGAATGGTGCGTTGCGATGTGGCACGCAAGGTTACAAGACTATTAGACCAAGGTTAAAAGGCCGGTGAGTTTGACAAGTAAGCCAGACGGCCGCGATGCGATAGGGGAAAACAACATGAGAAAGTAGTGAGCCGGCGCAGCGACGGAAGCCGGGGGAAAGGACGTGCGTGGCCGCCTTCTCCGATCTTCAGCGGTCACAAGTGGCAGTGGAGGCATGTGGAGGCATTAGCACAGTAAAGCATGCATCCGACCGATGGAGGAAGCACGCCCTGACCCTTCCATATCGCTGAAGGGAGGTAGAACGTATCGGTACTACAAACACTCCCAAGCTTTATCCCAGCCTCGCCGCATTCGTTGCCCAGCATCACCGAACCCATTGACCCGCTTCACCTCTGCCGAGTACATGGTCGCGGTCAGTCGACCTTATCACGGCTCAGTTGATCCACTGCCCCACTGCCCAGCCCACCCCATTGCCCCAGCCCACCCCACTGCCCCACCTTGATCGTGTACCAAGAAGGCGACTCCTTGTACGGAGTTGCATCCAGGTTGGGCGACCACATCTTGATACCCGTCTTGTTAAAGTACGCAAAGTAGATGCTCTGCATGGGGGCAGTTCAATTGCGTAAAATCACAATGAACATTAATACCGGTAATGAATAGGATACGAAGAACCCACAAAAACGCAAAAATATAAGCACCAAAGAACTGAAGCTTAGAATCTTGACAGGGGCACCATGGGACACCTACCTGCATGGGGAACGTCTCCGGCTCCACCGTTCCAAACACCGGCGCAACGTGCGTTTTGTTCTTCGTGTCCAGGAACATTACGATCGAGTCGGGGCTTGTTTGAGCGCGTTCGGAGCGTGTCATGGCCCAGGCACCGTATTGCACCTTCTGGAGGTTGGGGCCGCACTTGCCAAAGCTGATGTAGTACTGGGGAGGCGCGGAAGGTGGCGGTGGAGGTGGGGGCGGTGGCGGCGACGATGGCGAGGGCGGTGGCGGTGAGGGCGGTGGCGGCGGCGGTGAGGGCGGTGGCGACCGAGGGCTGGGCGGTGGCGGCCGCAGCCTGGGTGGTGGTGGAACGCTCGCTGCCTGCAGCTTGCGATAGGCGACTGCGGCAGCACAGCACACAACAAAGCGCACAGCAGACGACAGTGTTTTAAGCACGCAAGGTGGGGGACGGGTGTCTTCCATCCTCGCGGGATACCGGGGAAGGACCAAACGGGAAGCTTCTGGCGAAATTGCCACCATCACCCCATCACCATCCCATCACCCCACCACCACAACAACAACAGCACACACAGCCGGGACACGGTAGCCCCGTGGCAGCTGGGCCTCGTGATGTGCAGTTTTCGTGGACGGAAAGGTGGGGCACAAGGAGTATCGAGCATAGCTGCTTCGGAGCATGGACGCGTTCTGACGCACCTTGCGGGTAACAAGCGACTAGCGAGGCCAACAGGAGCAGCACGCACGCCCTCAGGCTTGCAACTTCCTGCAACTTCATCGCCGCCATTTGCAGCAGGGCAGGGCTGCTCAGCTAGAGGGAGACCGGGATTCTGCGAGGGACGGGCAGATTTAACTGGGGTTTGTTCGAAAAGTTAGCGGGAATTGGGACCATGACCGTTGAGCTACAGCACATTTTGAAACCCACTGTAAACTATCCCGCATGATGGCGTGCAGGGAGCTTCAATTGCAACAATACCAGTCACATTTCGGCTCATGCTCTAAAACTCGGGGAGGCAGGTGGGACTTGGCTTGCGCCATGTGTGAGGCGTAGTGGGCTAAGCGCCTGGATCCGAGTGAATTAATGGACAGTATCTAATTATACATATTGCATAACTTATTAGCGCTGCTCTAGCCCAAAACTCACCTGAGGGGCCCAGTGACGGGGCGAACTGGGGCCGGCTAAAAGTCGTCCTCAACACTGGGGCAGAAAAACCATATATTGAGCGGCAAGTTGTATAACGAAAGTTTGAAGGGGCGTTTACGCTCAACACTATGCTTGCGGTGGTTCAAACTAACTCACCCGGACGCGCTCCTCCAGCTGGCAGAGAGCCGCTTTAATGCTTGGAAAGAAACTTATAAAGTTTAGGCTATATCTTGGTCGGCGGGCCTTTTGGCTCGTGGGGCCTAGGTGCAAGCGCGCAGTTGCTATCTCGCTATCTCCGTATTAGTCCATCTCACAATCGACCATGACCCTGAGCACCTCCTACATACCGGCATTCATAGCTCCGTTATTACATAAAGGGTGATGCACTTGCTTCTGGCGTCTCTCGGTGCCTCTGTGCTGGCTACCGGTACGTACTAGGGCCAAGGCACACAATTTGTATCGGAACACATTAGGCAAGGACTGAAGAACGCCAGGGTCTACACCAGAACATACCTTGATACCAAATTGCCAAAACTTCTATAGAGAGTGCGGAAGTTACAATCTTGTTGGGATGCTTTATTGCGCCATGTACGGCGTTAGTAAGCGAGGCCAGCTGTCGTCGTCACTCAGCCATACCTTCCAGCTCTTCCATGCTCCTTTATCGCTGTGTGCCACGAGTCCCAGCTGCTGCTGTTTACGTGCCCTGCATTGTGGGGACGTTGTGTGGGTGTTGCACGGGGGACACCGGAAGCCCTGTAGGTTTCGATACTGAACCGTCTTGAAGCAAATCCACAAGCGAGACGAGGAGATAAAGAGTCCTTGGCATGCGATAGCTGCGCATGTACGCAGTACAGCACGTCGTGACGTTGCAGCTTTAAAGCGAGCCCTATAATTTTGGACAGACAGGCGCAATCGTTGCGAACAGACAATACTTGCATTTTACACTTTCCAAGCCTATGGATTTAGATCGGTGGCCTTGACACCACTGGCGCTGTTATTCTTGCATGGGCAGTTGCCAACTAGAGGCTTGACACCACATGTTAGGTTAGTATTGGCGATAAGTCCAACTGCAGTAACAAAGCTGGCGGCGAGTCCGGAGGGGTCCATGGAACACTTGGCGATGGCATCAGACCGACAATGCGCGGCAGCCCCATCGTCTCAGCTACTCGCCGCTATCAAGGCTAGCACACTGCAACTCGTATCCGCAATGGTGGAGCTGCATAAGCAGGTGCTGGAAACGCAAGGCGTGGTCGATGGGTACCGTAATTTCGGCAGATGCTGTGCGACCTCCTCTGCCCCACGCGCCTGCGTATCTTACCTGGAACAGGTGTGCCCCATGGATCAGGATTCCCGTCTACAATGTCAAGACGTGGTAGGTAAGTGGCCTAGGCGCACCCCTGTGGGAGCGACCTAACCTTCCAGCGCCCCTACCCACCTCCAGGCGTGACCGCGCCACCCTTCCCTTCCCTCGTACCCCTCGCTCTCCACCGCCATGCATCGCCCACAGGGGCCCAGCACGGCTATGAACTTCCTTCACCTCAATCCTTGCTCAGCACAGTTCCTCCAATCCCCCACACGTTAGCCTCAAATAACACCCCTGCTCACCACTCACTATGCCGTACTTTGCCGCCCTATCCTTGGCCCCCGTCTGCAGGCCGAACCCCTCCGATCCCGCCCTCCCTCCCTCCGGCCTCCCTAGCGGAGTTGCGATGCGTGTTGGACGAGCTGCTGCGGGAGGAAGACGAGGAGGCGGCATCCCTGGGTGGCAGCAACAGCATCTGCAGCTGCTGCAGCCAGGAACACCCGGCGAGAAGCCAGGATCAGCCGCAGCAGAAGGAAGAAGATGTAGACGTGGAGAGGCAGGCAGGGCCGCAGGAGCCTCCGCAAGGTGTGGGCGGCAGCAAGGGCGCTCCCCGCAGCGCCGTACGGGGCAGCCAGGAGGACACGTGGTCCTGGTGGTGGGGGGCGGCTGGGGATAGGGCTGAGGCGGCGGCAACTGCTGACAGGGAGTTGATAGAGCCAGCCTCCGGAGCAAGCCACCAACACCAGCAGCAGCAGCAGAAGCAGAAGCTTACAGCGGATAGCGATGGGTGTACGGTCACCCCTCGGAGCTCCTCGCCCTCCCCCTCCTCCCAGGATAACACAGAATGCAAGCAGAAACCCAACACCGCACAACCGCCACACCCTCACCCGCCGCCCCCGCCTCCACCGCTGTCGGTTGGTCCATGCGGGCTGACACACCCCGGCCTCTCCCCCGCCGGCTACCTCCGCCGCCCCTTCGCGTTGCAACTCGCCTGGGCTGCAGCCGTGTGGCGCCACACTGGCTGCTTTCCGTACCCCTTCGTACGGCAGCGGCGGCCGCCCCTGCTGGCGGAGGGCGAGGTGTACTGGGCGGCTGTGGCGCGGGTGGAGGAGCTGCTGCCTGCACTGCTGCCGGGGGTGGCAGCTTTGCCTTCTGAACGAGGTCATGCGCCGATGCAAGCACCACTACCGTCGCTGCCGAAACAGCAGCAGCAGCAGCAGCCACATGACCTGCATGAGGGAGGGAAACAGGCGGGAGGGAGCTCAATGGTAGCGGCTTTGGCTGCGGATGGCGATCCCAATCCAGATGGAAAGGTGCTTCCAAACCCGGCACCACCAGCAGCCGCATTACCAGCACCACCAGCACCATCAGCACCAGCACCACCAGCGACAGCAGCACCAGCAGATGCAGCACCAGCAGATGCAGCACCAGCAGCACCAGCACATGCAGCAACAGCACCAGCAGCACCAGCACCACCAGCACCAGCAGCACCAGTAGCAACAGCAGCACCAGCACATGCAGCAGAAGCATGTCCGGACCCCTCCGCCGCGCTGCTAGCGCTGCTGCTGGCTGCTCCCGCGCTGTACGTGCTGCTGGGCTTCCGGTTGACGGCCGGCAGTGCTGCGGGGAGGGGGCTGGCGGCGCTGCCCTCGGTGCGGGAGTGCGAGGCGGCGTTTGAGGCGAGGCATGCGCCGCCGGGCAATGCGAGCGTGCTGAGCGTGGGTGAGTAGGGTGAGGTTTAGCTGGTAGGGTGAGGTTTGGATGGTAGGGTGAGGTTTGGATGGACCGGGCTGGGCGGGTAATAAATCTAATAATGGAGGCCTGCGGCGCCGGGGATTTAGAAGCGGTAAGGAGAAGGTCAGTTTGCCGCAAGCATCTATCGTGCATTACTTGCGTGTTGCAGCTGATGCTTCTCGTTACAAAAGGGCCATGATCCTCCTAAGCAACGCGGTGCATACTCTCCAACCAGCAATGCCCTCTGTGGTGCCTCGCTGCCTTTGTTTGGTCGTTTCCCTCCCGCTTGCCCCGCCATCCGCCCCCACCCCCCTAAATCCCTATGGTGCGGTATGGTCTTTGACCCCCCCCCCCTTCCGTTGCTTCATTAATATCACTATACAATTATTTCCCTCCTCCTCCAAGGTGCCCGGGCGTTGTCCAAGCACACCCACCGCGACCTACGTGGAGAGTGGTGGCCTGCGCTGACCGGCAGCGAGGCGAACAAGAACCAAGTGGCCCGTGGGTCGCTGCGGCGGCTGCTGGCGGGCGCGTTGTGGCTCAACTGCCACCAACTGCCGCCGTTTGAGGCGCCCAAGTTCGTGTTGGAGATCCGCAATGAGCAGGTGGGGAGGGGCCCGGAGTATCGGGGGGTAAAAACAATTCCAAAGTGTGGTGTGATAATAGAGTATCGGGGGGTGGGTGGGACTGTGAGGTGGGCTAAACAGGAAGAAACCAAACTAACCGTACGGCAATGCTTGACATGGGGCTAAAGAGGTGACGGCGATGGTACGGCGAGACGTGTGGTTGGTTGCGGGTCGTTATTTTGAGCGTTTGGGTAGTTCCTACAACGGCCTGGCTGCCTTCACTGCATGGGTGGCGGCCCCTTCCTGGCGGCCTCTCGGCTCCCAGCTGCTTCCCATCTCCCGTATCTCCCCCTGACCCCTGCAGGGCTACGGTGCCCGGTGGGCTGTCGAGGAGGCAACCGTGGCATCAGAGGCCTCCCCTCGAAAGGTGGAGGGCACGCCGCGCCCGCATGACTGCACAGCGGGAGGAGCAAGTGCGGCAGCAGCAGCTGCCGCTGCTGCTGTTTCCGTCGCGGCAGACGCGGTGACAGCGGCGGCGGTGGCGGCAACAGCGGCAGCTGGACCTCCAACAGCGATGCAAGAAACGGCACTGACGGCAGTGTCATCAGGCTCATCACCAATACCTTCTCAACTAACGGTATCGGCAACGGTAACTGCAACGGTAACAACCGAAGCAGGGGCCACAGAGGCAGCTAAGCGGCGGCCTCGTGTGTTGTTCCGAGGCTTCTTAGAGCCACAGATGGAGGGGGGCCATGAGGCGGGGTGGCGGCATTAGTGGTATTTGGATACAATGTTTGGGTTACGGGTCAGCCTGGCCTTGGCTGATGAAGTTTGGCAAGCAGAGGTCTGCTATCTAGAGGCTATGAATAACGTACTTTCGTAATTCGTATCCTCCATCTCATACCGTACTACCGGTACAACGGATGTGCTGTTGTGATGCAACAGTGGATGAGCGCAGTCACGTCGTTACAATGCAATGTTTCATACCAAGCGTGATCACAAATTAAGGGAAGTTAGGAAGCAACGCACGCTGCCGCGTACACAGGCGAGTGCCAGCAGTTCGCACCGAAACCATTTGGGGTTTGACATCCGACGTTCCTACCATTTTCCTAGAATCGACGGACATCACAATTTAATGGCAGTGCGTAATGAACTCACATTGTTTGTAACAGGGAGTTGCGCAAGTAGGACAGAGCGCGCTTGCAGACCCTCACACAACAACATAAGCCTGGTTACCTCGCATAGAAAAGGAAATGGTTCAAACACTTACAGCAACACATAGCGCCGTAAGCAAATATGGATGGAGTATGCGCTTTCCAGCGCCGCGACCGGTCATCATGAGTGAGTCGCTTTTGGCATCCGGCGCTGGAACATCAACAAGAAACCTTATACCGCGTGCTTAAGGCTATAACATACATTCGTCACTGACATGTATTGTATTTACCTTGAGCGCTTTAGCTTTGTGACACCAGTCGTCGTCAATCAACCGCCTTGCATTGCAACAGACGGGGGGCCTTCTTGCGCTGTCCACGGTCGCTCTGAATAGCCACAGCATACAGTCTGCAAATATGTCTCCTTCTCATCGCCCATTCACCTTTCCTAACTTAGTCAACCGTACAAACCTCCCAGGCCACTCGAGAATGCCGCGGCGGCCCCGTCCGCTGCTGATGGCCCCCGCCGCTAGCAACCAACAGCAGCAGCAAGAGCCACAGCTAGCGCAGCCTTCAACCGTTCCCGCAGCGTCCCCACCAGCACCCGCCGAAAAGTTTGAGTAAGTCGCGCTCCACCGGACGGCCCTGTTGTGCTCCCTGCTGCTTGTGTAGCCCGCCTGTAACTGCTGCGCTACCCTTGCCAACACGCTGAAGCCCCATGCCAACTTACTTGTTCCCTTCCCTTCCCTCCCTGCTTCCTCCCCTCCCTGCTTTGTCTTCCCTTCCCTCCCTGCTTCCTCCCCTCCCTGCTTTGTCTTCCCTTCCCTGTGTGCCTGCTTCCCTTCCTCCCTGCCCCCTCCTCCCTCCCCGCCTGCCTCCTTCCCTCCACCAGGATCACGCTCAGCGGGCAGGAGGCGCTGCAGACCATCCGGCTGGGCCTGGTTCCGCAGGGCCGGGGGCAGGCGGTGGTGGTGACGCAGGTGGCGGAGGGAAGCCGGGCGGAACAGGTGCGTGTGCGTGTGTGTGTATTGTCGCTTGTACGGCAGGGGCGCAGGGCTGTTTCGTCGTAAGGGAGACCACGGTTCGCGGATCCGTGCAAGGTGACAGTCGGTGCCTCCTAAAACTCGAAAATACTCGCTAGCACGGCTGGGATGAACACCGCACCGCATGGCCCTGTCGCACCGCATGGCCACATCTATTTACCCAATGACCCTTAACTTGCTACCGTATTTCCCATTCCCTCTTCTCCGTCTGTGGTGGTTTTCGCACTTCCTTGCCCCCCCCCCCCACACACCGACACCCGCAGTTGGGTGTACGGCGGGGCCAGAAGCTGGTGGCGCTCAGCGACCCGCTGCGGTACGGCACGCTGTGGGCTCTGCAGGACCGCCCCAGCCTGCGGTTCGTGGTGGACACGTTCCGCATGCGGCGGGGGGCGCCGCTGGACTTGCAGCTGGAGCCGCTGATGGGGGCAGCAGGTGGGGGTGGGAGGGGTTTAGAGAGGAACCAAACCATATAGTACTGCAGGTTGGGGCAAAGCAGGGTGGGGTAGAGTGGGGGCGGATGCGTTGCTGCTGCCCTGCTGGCCTCTCATCGTCGTCGTGGTAGAAGTCCGAAGTCCGCTTTCCCTGCCCATGCGCCCGTGCACCCTTGCCCCTTCCCCAGATATGGATGCCTTCTTCGGTCCTGAGGATGCATCGCCCTCTTCAAGCGGTAGCAGCAGCAGCGACGAGGGCGGCAGCAGCCAGCAATCAGCAACAGCCTCGGCGAGCGCATCAGCGACATCAACCTCAATAGCAGCAGCAGCAGCAGCAGCAATGACGACAAGGTCTCTGGGCAGTGGCGGCAGCGGCGGCTCGGTGGACGCCGACGCCTCCCCGGACGACGCGCTGGCCAGCAGCAGCAGCATCGACCTGCTGCTGGCGGATGCAGGCGACAAGGGACCCACAATAGGTGATCAAAGACCGCACCATACAACAGGAAACCACGGGTTTATCGATGATGCTCCTCCGCCCCAACCACTCCTCCGCACCCACCCACCTCCCTCACCCACTCGCCCACCTCCCTCACCCACTCGCCCACCTCCCTCACCCACCCACCTACCTCGCTCACCCCCCCGGCAGGTGAGCGCCTGGCGGCCCAGCATGCGGCGCAGCAGCGGGCGCAGGCGGCGGTGAACCAGGTGCAGCGGCGCATCGACCGGCGGCGGGCCTACATGGAGATCGATGAGCAGGTACGCCCCCCCTCCCCCTCGCCCGTGAGTTACTGCATAGCCTAATCCCTCATTCCCCTCCCCGCCCCCTGACCTCCCCTCCTTCCCCCGCCCCGGACCCCTATTCTCCTCCTCTCATCCCCTCCTCCCCCCCCGCCGTTGATGCATTTATCTATATCTTTCTCCCCCCCCCCGCCCGCAACCCCCACCCCAAGCGGGACGACACGCGGCTGCTGCTGGGCCTTGCGGCCGCCTTCCTGCTGCCCGCTGCCGTCATACTGGTGGGTGCCTACTTCAGCGGCTACCTGGACAGACTCTACCTCACCGCACTCACGCTGAGGTGAGAAGAGGAGGCGCCGGGTGGGAGCGTGTGTGGGGTCTGGGGTGGCGAGGAAACTGGTACAGGTACGAGTCGAAATGTACCGGATGTGTACTGTGATTGCTGCGGAAGATGGGTTCCCCCACAGAAACGCGAGTGTTGAGAAAACTGGCCGCGAGTAGGAACGTAACGCGAGTAGTGTGTGCAAGTGTGCGGGTGTGCCTCAAGGACAAGGGTTATGAACTTATTAAGATGACCTCGCCGCGTGACGGTGAACGTGGAAGAGCAGTGGCATGTGAGCAGAGAGGGAGAGCGCATGGAAAAATGAGAGTGAGAGTGAGGAGGTTGAGAGGGCCCGATGGCTTCCAAGGCAGGGGGATGTGGAGGGGAAGCATGAGGAGGAGGGGATGATGGAGCATGACTACGCAGAGCAGGATTAAGCATACCGTAGTCAATTGACTTTGTATGAGGAGGGAGCCATCATGCGAAGGAGGGGGTGATGGAGGGCACGGTTCCATGGGCATGCCTGAGATACGATGTAGCGGAGTGGGATGAAGAGGGAAGCGCTGCATGTGGTGTCTACCTACCGGTGTGTGCAGTCGTGGAGCCGCCCCTACCTACCCACGACTGAGAGTCCTCCCCTAGTTGGTATGATAGGCATCTTACGGTTCATAGCACCTTGCTAATCCTCTCATGTGATTTAGTTGTATGGTTACGTGCGGCGAGGACCACATTCAAGCGACAAATACGAGTCTCATCATGTGCGGGTATCGTAAGCGCTGTGCTGCGATGTTATTTATACCGGTATAAAAACGGACATGCTGCATGGGACGCACCGCGTGTGCAACGTATGTCGCAATGATGCGGTTACTTAGGCTGCGTAGGACGCAAAGGATACTGAAAAGCACACACCTGTTTGAGACACAAACAATGAACACCGGCTCAGGACATACTTCAACATGCCGCTTTCAGTATTGCAGCGTGGAGTCCCAGAGAGTATCCATACGGACAGGAGCAGCGGGTTGGATAGAGCTCGTCGGCGGTATTTGACAGACCCTTGGACCCGAAGCAAGCTTTGGGCAGCTTGCAGGTGTTTAGTACAGCTCCTCCCAGACATAAATCCTACAGTTGGTATGAAGGGGGGTAATAGTTCTGCTTTCACTGCCATTCGTAGGGTGAGCATATCGGGATTATGTCAACTCAACCTGAGCCTCACGACATTAGCACAAGCGGAATAGAGACCGAGGGTGAGTTGTGTAACTATATCTTGTGTTTACATCGCCGTAGATAGAAGGAGCGTCGTGCTGTGCGCAAGGGTCACCAGTCAGCAGTGACTGTACGGCGAGATGAAGCCCTAATACTTTCCTGCAACTCCATCCATATTGTTGTGAGTCAAAGCAATACCGAGTTGGAATAGAAGCAACGTTGGCAATATATAACGCTGATTTACAAGGTTTGCAGTTAGTCTGGTTCGGCTCTCCGCCCTCTTGTGAGCCTGCGCGTCCATTGCAATGACCGCTGGAGGCGCAGCAGCAGCAGCAGAGCTGCCGCTGTGCCCAGTATGCTGCGAGACCCTTGGGCGCTGGGGTGGTCCTGCGACGCTTCCTTGCGGTGCGTTTAATAGTCGAATTAGCGAGATGCTCGCTTGCATTGGTTCTGTGAAAAATTGAAAGACATTTGCTCTGGTGTTACTATGCAGGGCATAACGGTTGCTTGGATTGTTTTCAACTGGTGCAGCAAAGGAATGCTCAGTGCCCGCTCTGCCGGGCCAACTTTGGGAAAGAGCTGAAGCTCTCATGCAACCATGAACTTGAGGTAGGCTTACGCATGCCAGCGATTTTTAGGCTCGGCTTACTGGCTAGGAAAATCGTTTGAGCGACGCTTTAGGTGTTGACAAGGCCTCTTCACCTGAGCAATGCCCCTCGAAGCTTGGTGCAATGCTAGCGGTGTAAGCTAACTTTTGACACCCGCCACCCAGAGCCGGCTCACGATAGGTCCAACCCCCTCTTTCCCTCTCTCGGTGCCTCTCAGCGCTACCGTTTGACATCCGCCATACTCTCCCCTCCGAAACACACGAACCTCAAACCCATGCGCCCTTGCGTAACCCTTCAACCACCCATCCTTGTTGCGCCTCTTCCCGAACCACCTCCCTACCTGCTTTTCCCCTCCTCCCTCTTGTCACTCTTTTGCCTCCTTTTCTCTTCATCCCCTCCTTCCCTCCCAGGATCTCATCCGCCTAGCCACCATGCTTTTCGTGGATGAGTCAGCCCAGCGCGACGGCTGGGAGGCCTTCCCCTCGCAGCAGCTAGCGACGGACAGCTACGCCGTGGAGCTCATGCGGGGACACAAGAAGGCAGCAGCGGCTGCAGTGGCAGCTACTGCCGCCGCCCGGCCCGCCGCTCAACGCATCAACGCTGGCGGCGGCGGCGGTCCAACGGCGGCGCAGTCCTCAGCTGGCGGCAGCGGCGGTGGCTTTGGGCTGAGCTTGGGTCGCAGTGTGCTAGGGCTAGGGCTGGGCGGCTTGGGCTTTGGCGGAGGTGGCGGCGACGGCGGCGGTAACCCCAATGCGCTGGAGGATTTGCACGACATCATGACGGCGGATCCGCTGGCGGCGGCGGCGTCGCACCAGCGGCGGCGAAGCGACGGCGACGGATTTGCCGGCGTCGACGGCGAGGGCGACATGTTCACCTCGCCCTCGGCCCCGGCATGGTTTGACGCCGACGGCGGCCATCCCAGCGCCAACCCTTACAGCCAGCAGCACCAGCACCAGCAGCAGCTTTCCCACCCGCGCCAACAGGCGCATGCGACGTCAAACCCCGCATGGGATCCCCTTGGAGGTGGCGGCAGCAGCAGCAACGGCATGCTGGCGGCGTCCATGATGACGTCACCAGGCGGCGGCAGCGGCAGCGGCTGCACGCTGCTTTCCCTGGAGCCCCCGCTGTGGCTGCCTGACAGCCATGCCACCGAGTGCCTGAGCTGCCACCTGCCCTTCCGCCCCTTCACGCGGCTGAGGCACCACTGCCGGCTGTGCGGCAAGATCTTCTGCCATGCGTGCTGCCACAAGAAGGCGCTGCTGCCGCCCAAGTATGGTGTCAGGTACGCCTTTTCCACGGCTGGATTGCCCCGAATCTGGCTCCTGCGTTGTTTACCAGTAGTCCGTAAGGACTGAACCCGACCGATTTCCTCACCCCACCGCACCTCGCCTCACCCTACCTCCCCGCAGGACGCCCCAGCGCGTTTGCGAGCTCTGCAGTTGCGCCCTCGCGTCGCACCAGCAGCTGCTGGCCGGCACGCTGGCGGCCGCCGCACAGCCGCCGGTGCAGGACTGCCCCGATGCCATCAGCCTCCGCGCCTGGCTGAACAGCCCCTGGACGGGCAGTCTGGGTCATGAGGTGTTCAAGGCGGCAAACATGCTGGCCACCATGGTCAAGGTGGGGGCCGGAGGGGGCGGAGGTGGGGTGCGGTATGGCTGCCACGTTGCGTGGGTCGTGGCAGGGGATGCCACACAATTTGGCGACGCACGCTGGAGAGATGGTGGTCTTTCTATTCGCGTCGCAATGTCACAGTGCCCGTGCCGTTCCTTGCATTCCGCTCCATGTGTCTCTGTGACTGGGCAGTGCCTTCCCTGGGTTCCCTCCCTTCCTTCCGAACCCCCATCCCGCCGCCCTCCTTACCCCCTCCCTCCCCTTCACCCGCAGGCCGTGCAGTTCCAAGCGGAGGCGGGGTTGCCCACCGCGGCCCTGCAGGGCGCGGAGGCGCTGGCGCTGCTGACGGTGGCGCGAGTGGGGGCGGGCTGGTCGCTGTCGTTCGGAACAGGCGAGTGGGGGCGGGCGGGTTGCGGGCTGGTGATGATGACGTGGAAGAGCTCCGGCCCACGGTAGCGTTGCGGCGGGTAGCCAGGAACGGTTTCTGAATAGCTTGGTGCCCGTGTCCTCCTCCTCCTCCTCCTCCTCTTCGTACCGTCGCCGGGTGTCTTTCTCATGTTGCTCCTTTTTCTCCTCTCCCGCAGGTCTGGTGGTCGCCCGCACCCCCTCGGGCGGCTGGTCCGCCCCCTGCGCCATCTCCGCCGCCGGAATGGGCTGGGGGCTGCAGCTCGGAGGCGAGCTAGCAGACGTGCTGCTGGTTCTTCGCAGCCGGGAGGCCCTTGGGGGGCTGTGCGGCGGGCTGGGGGCGGGAGTGGTGGTGGGCGGGTCGGCGTCGCTGGCTTTTGGACCCATGGGTCGGCATGCGGATGCTTCCCTGGTGGTGAATCTGAGCAGTACGGCGGCGGCGTACGGCTACAGCTGCAGCAAGGGGGCGTTCGTGGGGCTGAGTGTGGAGAGCTCGCTGCTGTGCGTGAGGAGCCAGGTGGGGGAGAGGGGGGTGCCGGGTTGGGGTTGGGGTCGGGAGGGGCTTTCTGGCATGAGGCATGAGAAGATGCTTACTGCGGTGCAGGCATTGCCTGGAAAAACGTAATGCCGTACATGGTGCGCGCATACACCGTTTCAGCAGGAAATGCATGCCGGACAAGCGCGGATACCGTGCAGAGGTTCATCCCACCTCCCACATTTCCCTTTCGCCTACCCAACCGCCCCTCCCTTTCCCCCTCTCCCCTCTCAATCCAGCCACAACAACCCCCAACCACCTGTCTTTCCTTCAATCCAACCACAACAACCACTCCCACCCCCCACCCCAGGTGAACCACGACTTCTACGGCTACCCGGTCACCCCCCGGCAGCTGCTGCTGGAGGATACGGTGCCGCCGCCGCCCGCAGCGGCCATGCTGTACGAGGGAATCAAGGTGCGGTGCGGTGGGGGCGGTTGTGGGCGGTGGGGGGGCATTGTGTGTAGGCTCGGAGCATTGTGCGATGAAGTCAGGAGGTGCAATGACGGTCTGAACCGTATAATAATACCGGTAACTCGAGTATCCGGGTACCGGGAGTGCCGGTATGCCTCTGGTGCGGAACTTGATAGCGGCGCGTGAGCAGTGGGGAGAGAGTCGCCCGTGTAACGCAGCCGTGCCCGCATTTCGCCAACTTCCCACTTCCCTTCCCTTCCCACCTGGCTGCTGCCCCTCTCTCACGCTGCTGCCCCTCCCTCCCCGCGCAGGCGCTGCTCAACCGCTTCGAGTGCCGTCGCCGCCTGGTGCACACCCGGAGCACCCCCGTGGTGGGCGGCAGCTACAACCGCCAACCGCAGCAACTCAACCACCACCAGCAACACCAGCAGCAGCAACAGAACTACCAGCACTCGCACCAGCATCCCATGCAATCGCCTTCACAGCACCAGCAGCAGCAGCACCAGCAGCACCAGCATCTCTCACTTGTCCGCCCCGCACCAATGAGCCCTTTCGCCGCCTCCTGCACCGCCGCCGCTGCTGCTGTCCCCGCTGCCTCGGCAGCTCCAACAGCAGCCGCTCCTCCTTCTCCTTCTCCTGCTGCTGCCACTGCTACGGTACCGGCTGAGGAGAAGCCGGATCCGCGGCTCTGGGAGGAGGACGTGGAGCGGTCCTGGGGGGCTCTCTCGCTGCTCGGCTCTTCCACTGCTTCCTCCGCTGCCACGTCCGCCTTCGGGCCCGCCGCTGCTGCTGCCGAGGCCGCTGCTGCAGCAGCAGCCAAGACGCCTGCATGCAGGGCCGAGGGCGGCGGGGGTGCGGGGCGGCTGGGGTCGCTGGTGCCCAAGCTGTTGCCTGAGTTTCATGGCGCGCGGGCTGTTGCGTTGGTGGAGTAGGAGGAAACCGACGTGGAGGCTTGGACCGTTGCGGAGCAGGCGTGGAGGAATAGAGAGAACGCATGGGGCAGTTGCGGGCAGATTGTTGGAGGCACAGGGCGCTTGCTTCCTGTCGAGGAGTACATGGCTGTCGGCGTTTGAATGGTTACCTGTTCGGTTTCGATTCGTGGAATGTATACTAGGTTGTGCTGTTCGACGCAGGAAACTGAGAGTTGGGGCGAATGTACATTATCGCGTACTTTGTACGGCTTAGGAGAGTGCCGTACTGCCTTATGCCATGCCGGAGTTTTGTCCTGCCTGTGCGCTGTTTTGTTTGCCTGTAAGTTGACAATTGAAGACTCGTTGCTTTAAGCCCGCTCGTTATATACTCGTGCTTTGGTAGCCTCGCTTCCATTGTCGTGGGTGGAAATGAATTGGCGAGATGAATGGAGTGGTGGTTTCCTTGTCAGTTTAGCGTAGCACCGATTTTTATCGAGAGGCTAAGATCTCAAATGTGGTTTCGCTTTGCGACTAGGCAAATTACGGCATACGCATTGTACCATAGCGCATTACATAACCTTGAGGTGGGTTCGAATGAGATCCGAGATGTACCATTATCCCCGTTGTATCATGTTGTTTTTTCCTGGGGAGTAGTAGCTCTGCGGCTTCCGTTGTACCTTGTACGCTTACGAGAGTGTCCCCCGGGGCAGCAGTTGTACGGCGGTCCTTAAAAACAGCCTTTGCCGGACAACGGCCTTTGTATCATGAATGCGCTTATGCCAAGGCGTAACTGATAGCTAGGATAAGCTGTTCGGTCTTTGTAGTCCTATTCCGTTAGCCTCTGAAAGCCGCTGCATGCTGCTTTTGGATTAGCTTAAATGCGCCTTCTGGGCTTCGGGCAGCCCTTGTGCTTGTGGCCTGTCGCGTTGTGGACAGGGTTTACACCCAAATATGTCCCGTTCCATGTGTGGTTTCCGTCCCTTACTCTTATGTACCCAGTATGCGGGTTTGTTTGCACACATGGGCTCTGGAACTGTCGGCGTGGGGAAGGAGGAGTTTGCCATGCGGCATGGGGAGGGGCCTGTGTGATGCGGAACTTGCGGAACTTGTCGTACAATCCCCAATGGTGGCTGTTGTGGCCCATCAAAGGCAAGATGTAACCACAAGGGAGCTGGGCACCTGAACTCATGGGCCCATGCTAGCCCATGCTTGGAGGGGTTGGTAAACCACAGGAAGATGCGGCTTCGTTCTAGTATCTTTTGGGAGATGCTTTTACTCATGGTTTGCAAGATGCTTTTTTACTCATGGTTTGCAAGACTCCCCTCGGCTCCGGAGCAGCTTGGCCCACGGGCAGTACAATGGCGTCGCTGCACCTTAACCAAACTGGAGTACTTCGGGCATGATGAGGTCGACACGACTGCTTCCGAGGCCGCCGGGTTTCTTATGTTGCCGTTTGCCGGCCTGTCACTTGAGGCTCGGCAGCGCTTTACGCACGTGCAGATTGCAGAAGACCCCGCACTGCCCGATCCTGAAGCGGCAATTGCGCTTCTCGTACAAAAGCTGCCAGGATTGAGGGTGCTGGAGCTGCAGCACATTCGCTCCATGCAAAACAAGCGCTTGCAGCAGCTGACCATGTACGACGCCCTCGCACTGCTGCCTCACCTCGAGCAGCTGGTACTGCCCACCTGTCGTGCTCTCAAGCAGGCAGGGGCGCTGGCTGCTTGCAGCAGTCTCAGTCACCTAACAGTGTTGGACCTAGACATGGAGGAGCATCCTTTCACCGCTCACCGCCAAGTACGCTGCTTCATTAGCGCAGCTGGAATCGCTGCAGGACCTCTTGTTCCGGACATGCGACATGAGGGACCGCCGCGATGCCCAAGACCCAACGTGGCGGGTGCTGTGGTGCAACCTGCCGCCCCGCCTGCAGCGCCTGAGGCTTGAAGCGTGCTGGGTCACCGGCACGGGCGAGCAGAATGATTTCGTGGACGCGGAGGTCTACCTCACACAGCCTGGCTACGTTGTATCGTCGGCTGATGTAGACCCGTACATGGGCAGCGGTTGTACGCCTGTCCAGGGATGGGATCGGCATGGGTTGCTCATGTACAGGGAAGAGCCGCCACGGTCTCAGCTGCAGCATCCTCAATACCCTCGCCCCTGCCACCTACAACACCCTCGCCCCTGCCACCTCAATACCCTCCCCCCTGCCACCTCAATACCCTCCCCCCTGCCACCTACTATACCCTCACCCCTGCCTTCTACAATACCCTCCCCCCTGCCAATTGTTTTTCCCCCCTGCCACCTCAAAACCTTCCCCCCTGCCACCTCAAAACCTTCCCCCCTGCCACCCTCAATACCCACCCCCTGCCACCTTCAATACCCTCACCCCTGCCACCTACAATACCCTCGCCCCTGCCACCTACAAAACCCTCGCCCCTGCCACCTTAATAACCTCCCCCCTGCCACCTTCAATACCCTCACCCCTGTCACCTCAATACCCTCCCCCCTGCCACCTCAAAACCTTCCCCCCTGCCACCCTCAATACCCACCCCCTGCCACCTACAATACCCTCGCCCCTGCCACCTCAATACCCTCGCCCCTGCCACCTACAACACCCTCGCCCCTGCCACCTGAATACCCTCCCCCCTGCCACCTCAATACCCTCCCCCCTGCCACCTACTATACCCTCACCCCTGCCTTCTACAATACCCTTCCCCCTGCCACCTCAAAATCTTCCCCCCCTGCCACCCTCAATACCCACCCCCTGCCACCTTCAATACCCTCACCCCTGCCACCTACAATACCCTCGCCCCTGCCACCTACAATACCCTCGCCCCTGCCACCATAATACCCTCCCCCCTGCCACCTCAAAACCTTCCCCCCTGCCACCCTCAATACCCACCCCCTGCCACCTACAATACCCTCGCCCCTGCCACCCTCAATACCCACCCCCTGCCACCTACAATACCCTCGCCCCTGCCACCTCAATACCCTCGACCATGCCACTTACAATGCCCGCGCCCCTGCCACCTCAATACCTTCCCCCTGCCACCTACTATACCTTCAGCCCTGCCACCTACAATACCCTAGAGCACCCGCCGACCTAGCACCCGCCGACATGGCACGCACCGACCTAGCACCCGCCGACCTGGCACCCGCCGACCTAGCACCCGCCGACCTAGCACGCACCAACCTAGCACCCACCGACCTTGCACGCGCCGGCCTAGCACCCGCCGACCTAGCACGCACCAACCTAGCACCCACCGACCTAGCACCCACCGACCTAGCACCCGCCGACCTAGCACCCGCCGACCTGGCACCCGCCGACCTAGCACCCGCCGACCTAGCACGCACCGACCTAGAACCCGCCGACCTAGCAACCGCCGACCTAGCACGCGCCGACCTGGCACCCACCGACCTAGCACCCGCCGACCTAGCACCCGCCGGCCTAGCACCCACCGTCCTAGCACGCACCGACCTAGCACCCGCCAACCTAGCACGCGCCGACCTAGCACCCGCCGTCCTAGCACCCGCCGACCTAGCACGCACCGACCTAGCACACGCCAACCTAGCACGCGCCGACCTAGCACCCACCGACCTAGCACCCGCCAACCTAGCACGAACCGACCTGGCACGCGCCAACTTAGCACGCGCCGACCTAGCACCCGCCGACCTGGCACCTGCCGACCTAGCACCCGCCGACCTAGCACGCACCGACCTAGCACCCACCGACCTAGCACCCACCGACCTAGTACCCGCCGACCTGGCACCCGCCGACCTGGCACGCACCGACCTAGAACCCGCCGACCTAGCAACCGCCGACCTAGCACGCGCCGACCTGGCACCCACCGACCTAGCACCCGCCGACCTAGCATCCGCCGGCCTAGCACCCACCGTCCTAGCACGCACCGACCTAGCACCTGCCAACCTAGCACGCGCCGACCTAGCACCCGCCGACCTGGCACCTGCCGACCTAGCACCCGCCGACCTAGCACGCGCCGACCTGGCGCCCACCGACCTAGCACCCACCGACCTAGCACCCGCCGACCTAGCACCCGCCGACCTAGCACCCACCGACCTAGCACCCGCCGACCTGGCAAGCACCGACCTAGCAACCGCCGACCTAGCACCCACTGGCCTAGCACCCACTGACCTAGCACCCGCCGACCTGGCACGCGCCGGTCTAGCACCCACCGACCTAGCACGCGCCGACCTAGCACCCGCCGACCTGGCACCCGCCGACCTAGCACCCGCCGACCTAGCACCCGCCGACCTAGCACCCACCGACCTAGCACGCGCCGACCTAGCACCCACCGACCTAGCACGCGCCGACCTAGCACCCACCGACCTAGCACCCACCGACCTGGCACCCACCGACCTAGCACCCGCCGACCTAGCACCCGCCGACCTAGCACGCACCGACCTAGCACCCGCCGACCTAGCCCCCGCCGACCTAGCACCCGCCGCCCTAGCTCCCGCCGACCTAGCACCCGCCGACCTAGCACCCACCGACCTAGCACCCGCCGACCTGGCACGCACCGACCTAGCACCCGCCGACCTAGCACTAACCGACCTAGCACCCGCCGACCTGGCACCCGCCGACCTGGCACGCTCCGACCTAGCACGCGCCGACCTAGCTCCCACCGACCTAGCTCCCACCGACCTAGCACCCGCCGACCTAGCACCCGCCGACCTAGCACGCGCCGACCTAGCACCCGCCGACCTAGCACCCGCCGACCTGGCACCCGCCGACCTAGCACCCGCCGACCTGGCACGCACCGACCTAGCACGCGCCGACCTAGCTCCCACCGACCTAGCTCCCACCGACCTAGCTCCCACCGACCTAGCACCCGCCGACCTGGCACCCGCCGACCTAGCACGCGCCGACCTAGCTCCCACCGACCTAGCTCCCACCGACCTAGCTCCCACCGACCTAGCACCCGCCGACCTAGCACGCACCGACCTAGCACCGGCCGACCTGGCACGCACCGACCTAGCACCCGCCGACCTAGCACTAACCGACCTAGCACCCGCCGACCTGGCACCCGCCGACCTAGCACGCACCGACCTAGCACGCGCCGACCTAGCTCCCACCGACCTAGCTCCCACCGACCTAGCACCCGCCGACCTAGCACCCGCCGACCTAGCACGCACCGACCTAGCACCCGCCGACCTAGCACCCGCCGACCTAGCACGCGCCGACCTGGCACCCACCGACCTGGCACCCACCGACCTAGCTCCCGCCGACCTAGCACCCGCCGAACTGGCACGCACCGACCTAGAACCCGCCGACCTAGCACGCACCGACCTAGCACGCACCGACCTAGCAAACGCCGACCTAGCATTCACCGACCTAGCACCCGCCGACCTGGCACCCGCCGACCTGGCACGCTCCGACCTAGCACGCTCCGACCTAGCTCCCACCGACCTAGCACCCGCCGACCTAGTACCCGCCGACCTGGCACCCGCCGACCTGGCACGCACCGACCTAGAACCCGCCGACCTAGCACCCGCCGACCTAGCACGCGCCGACCTGGCACCCACCGACCTAGCACCCGCCGACCTAGCACCCGCCGAACTGGCACGCGCCGACCTAGCACGCACCGACCTAGCACGCACCGACCTGGCACGCGCCAACCTAGCACGCGCCGACCTAGCACCCGCCGACATGGCACCTGCCGACCTAGCACCCGCCGACCTAGCACGCACCGACCTAGCACCCACCGACCTAGCACCCGCCGACCTAGCACCCGCCGACCTAGCACCCACCGACCTAGCACCCGCCGACTTAGCACGCACCGACCTAGCACGCACCGACCTGGCACGCGCCAACCTAGCACGCGCCGACCTAGCACCCGCCGACCTGGCACCTGCCGACCTAGCACCCGCCGACCTAGCACGCACCGACCTAGCACCCACCGACCTAGCACCCGCCGACCTAGCACCCGCCGACCTAGCACCCACCGACCTAGCACGCACCGACCTAGCACGCACCGACCTAGCACGAACCGACCTGGCACGCGCCAACTTAGCAAGCGCCGACCTAGCACCCGCCGACCTGGCACCTGCCGACCTAGCACCCGCCGACCTAGCACGCACCGACCTAGCACCCGCCGACCTAGCACCCGCCGACCTAGCACGCGCCGACCTGGCACCCACCGACCTAGCACCCGCCGACCTAGCACCCACCGACCTAGCACCCGCCAACCTAGCACGAACCGACCTGGCACGCGCCAACTTAGCACGCGCCGACCTAGCACCCGCCGACCTGGCACCTGCCGACCTAGCACCCGCCGACCTAGCACGCACCGACCTAGCACCCACCGACCTAGCACCCACCGACCTAGTACCCGCCGACCTGGCACCCGCCGACCTGGCACGCACCGACCTAGAACCCGCCGACCTAGCAACCGGCGACCTAGCACGCGCCGACCTGGCACCCACCGACCTCGCACCCGCCGACCTAGCATCCGCCGGCCTAGCACCCACCGACCTAGCACGCACCGACCTAGCACCCGCCAACCTAGCACGCGCCGACCTAGCACCCGCCGACCTGGCACCTGCCGACCTAGCACCCGCCGACCTAGCACGCGCCGACCTGGCGCCCACCGACCTAGCACCCACCGACCTAGCACCCGCCGACCTAGCACCCGCCGACCTAGCACCCACCGACCTAGCACCCGCCGACCTGGCAAGCACCGACCTAGCAACCGCCGACCTAGCACCCACTGGCCTAGCACCCACTGACCTAGCACCCGCCGACCTGGCACGCGCCGACCTAGCACCCGCCGACCTAGCACGCGCCGACCTAGCACCCGCCGACCTGGCACCCGCCGACCTTGCACCCGCCGACCTAGCACCCGCAGACCTAGCACCCACCGGTCTAGC